CACAAGCAGGGAGCTGGATGGGAAGAGGACAGTGGGGATATGAACCGACACCTATATGGGATCCCAGCGCATGCAAAGTGAAGACTTCAGCTACTAGGCTATTGTGTCAGGCACAGGACTAAGGGCTTTAAAAGGTGGAAATACAATCAGTTTTATAGGAAGGAAATTCTTCCAGGGCAGGATAAGGGTGAGGAATCTCCAGCTAACAGCCCAGTTGGCTCTGGACATGGCAGCAGCCATGGCTGTGCTCATGGGCCTAGCTGGGGCTGGAGCTGAGCAGTGTTAAGGAGGTAGGATGAATGTCTATTTTCTTGGGACTCCTTGTTTGACAAGGGTGATGAGGGAGAGGGACAGTAGAATATAGTCCTGGGCCTGGCACTGTCGATTAGCAAGCTAATCCTTTGCTGGCAGCACCTGGATCCCATATGGGTGCCGGTTTGTGTCCTGGATGGTCCAATTCTCTTTCAACTCCCTGCTTGTGGTCTGAGAAAGCAGTGGAGGACGTCCCAGCACCTCGGGACCTTGCACCCATATGGAGACCTGGAAGAAGCTCCTGATTCCTGGCTTAGGATCAGCTTAGCTCCAGTTGTTGTGGCCATTTGGGGAGTGAACCAGCATATGGAGACTCTGTCTCTGTAAATGTGCCTCTCAAATCAAAAGAAAAGGTTTTGCAGAATGCAATGGCAATCGCCAGGGCAGGGCATGGGGTTACAAGTGGGACAGCTGGGTGCTATGCAATGGCTCAGAGACTAAATCCTTGCCCTTCAAGTGCCAGGATCCCATATGGGAGCCGCTTCATGTTCAGGCTGCTGCTCCACACCCCATCCAGCTCCCTGCTTGTGGGCTGGGAAAGCAGTTGAGGACGGCCCAAAGCCTTGGGACCCTGCACCTAAGTGAGAGACCTGGAAGAAGTTCCAGGGTTCTGGCTTTTAATTGACTTTGTTGCAGCCATTTGGGGAGTGACACAGCAGACTGAAAAACTTTGTCTTTTCTCTCTGTAAATCTGATTTACCTTTACGGTAAAAATAAAATGAATTTTAAAAACAAAACAATACCAAAAAAAAAAAAGGGCCTGGTGCAATAGCCTACTGGCTAAATCCTTGCCTTGAATCTGCCAGGATCCCATATGGGTGCTGGTTAGTGTCCCAGCAGCTCCACTTTTCACTCATCTCCCTGCTTGTGGCCTGGGAAAGCAGTAGAGGATGGCCTAGGGACCCTGCTCCCATAAAGGAAACCCGGTTGAGGCTCTTGGCTTTGGATTGGCTCAGCTCTGGCCACTGTGGCCATTTGGGGGTTGGACCAGAGGATAGAAGATCTTTCTGTCTTTCCTTTCTGGAAACCTGCCTTTCTAGTACCAAAAAAAAAAAAAAAAAAAAAAAAAAAAAAAAAACCCTTAAAAAAAAAACTCAACTCCACTGTCAGTGTAGGTCACCTAACCCAAGCCATCTGCGGCAGTTCCCTTCTCAGTAAAATGGAGATACCAGGGACACCGAGCTCTTATCTCCGGTCCCGTAGCAGATTCCAGGGAGGAGGTGGGAATTCAGCGTGGTTCCCAGTACTGTCCTCTTCATTAGTCATTCAGAGCAGGAAGTCTCAAAGAAGGCGGCAGCTGGGCAGTGAGGGCAGCTAATGCCATTTGCCAATCACTTGGACATAGCAAACTCTTTCATCTTCACAACAGGCATCGTGGCCGTGGATATCACAATTCCCAGTTGACTCATGAAAAAACAAATTCGGGAAGGTGGAGTGATTCGTCCGACACTCCCCTGGGCCAGCTCGTGCTCCGGTGCAGCCAGGCGCGCCCGAGAGCCCACGGTCCGCGGGCAGGGCGGCAGCAGCGCGCTTCAAACGCACGCGCCCGCGAGCGGCTGCGGGGCGCGGGGCGGTCACGCACGACTCCCGTCGCAGCAGCTCCGCCCTTTCCCACGCCCCCGGGGGCGGGACGGCAAAGCGCGGGAAATCTCGCCCCGAGCCGGGGGCGCGGTCGAGGGGGGAGCCCCGCAGTGGGCAGCGGGGCGGGGGAGGGCGGCCCTCCCTCTGGCGCGCGGGCGGCCTATCCCCACACGGCCTGCAGAGCCCGGCGGAACCGGCCCGGCCACGCCAGCACTCCGCACGTCACCTCTGCCCCACTTCCGGTCCGCAAGCCCGACCCGCGGGGCCGGTCCCGGTTTCTCTGCGGGGTCCAGATCCCGGGCCTTTTCCGCCACCTCCGAAGCAAGAACTCGGAGGGCCCCTCCGCCTGCGGCCACGTTCCAGAACGGTCCAGACAGCCGCGGGGCCGCGCGGAGACGGCCAGCGGATGACGTCATGTTTCAGGCGGCATCCCTGACGTGCGGTTCTGAGGCTGAGGAAACCGCGCCACCAGACCCACCCACCCGGGCTTCCCTCCTGGCGGCCCCGGGCCCGCTCCGAGCGCCCGGCACACCGAAGCCCAGCGTCCTTTCAATGTGCCTAAGTGAGGAGACGCTTCAGGGTTCCGGCGGCCAATCGGGAGCGAGAGGGGCGGGCACGCAGCCGACACGGCCACGCCCCCTGGAGGGAGGAAGGCAAGGAGAGGGGCGGGCTTCTCTCGAAGAGACGGTTAGCTCTGGCCAATTACTTTTGAGATGCGCAGAAAAGGGGCAGGTAGGCCCCGGTTCAGCCAATGGGGAGAAGGATCCTCAGAGGGGGATCGTTCCGAGCGGCAGTCCTCAAGGCCAACCCAGAGCGAGGCTGGGCGGGGTGTAGGCCTGAGCGACGTGGACGTCGGCCAATGGCGAGTGTGAAAGCGGGCAGCTCAGACCTGGAGCGCGGAGGGAGCTGGCGGGGGGGGGGGGAGGAGGCCGACCGGAGAGAAGCAGGAAGTAGCGGCGGCGGCGGGGAGGGCGGCGGCGGCGGCTGCAGCGGTGGCTGCAGCAGCGGCGGCGGCTGGAGCAGGATAGACTGCTGGCTCTCGGCCCGCGCTAGCAGCGAAACAAGTAAGCGTGCCTGCGCTCGATACCCGCCCTAGCCCCGCCCCCCGGGGGGGCGGGTAGATGCCCCCGCCCCTCCCCCACTTGGTCAACTACCCCCCCTCCCCGCGCCGCCCCCTGGAAGGCCAGGACACCGCCTCCAGCCCCGGGGCGGATGGGCGAAAACTCTCCGCCTGTTGAAAAGCACAGCCCCCTTAGTCGGGTAAAGGAGGAAGGAGGGTCGGGGACCCCCCAAGTCCTGTTGCCGCCACCCCACCCACCCCCTGCCCGAGAAGGCGCCCCCCGAAGCGCGCCTCGGGACTTGGAGGCTGCGGGATGTCGCGACCCAAAATGGTGTCCGCGCCCGCCCGGGGGTGGGGGCGGGAGGAACTGGGCCAGGCCGGCGCGGAGCCGGCACCCCTGACTTGGGTGCAGGTCAGTGTCCGGGGGTGGGGGCCGCGTCCCTCTGGGCGCCTTGCGGATTCATTGCCTGCTGCAAGTAGGCGCGGGGACGAGGCTGCGGAGGGGGACCAGGTCCGAGCGGGGCCCGAGCTGCGGCTGCAGAGGCCGCCCCGCCGCCGCTGCCTGCCTGCACCCCGGCTGCCGCAGCGGTGGTGGTCCTGGGCCCCGAGGTGCTGCGCCGCAGCTCCCAAGGGGCCCGGCCTGGCCGAGGCCCGGCCTGCCTGGCGTACTGCGGGGAAGGAGCTTGGGGGGTGGGTGGGGGTCGCGGCATACACAAGCCCCCCTATCCCCCTTGCGCGCCTCAGTTTCCCGGTCTGGCTTCTCTCTTGTGCGCACCCCACCTCCTCCCCGCAACCTCAGACTTGCTCCCCGCTCCAGCAGCGCTCGGCAGATGGCAAGGACTTAATTCCGCCTGCTGCCCAAGCTTGGCCGCAGCCTAATCGCCACCGGGCCCCTCGTCCTGCTCTCCGCGGCAGGCCTTGGGCCCGGGCAAAGGGCACTGGAGCCCCCCACCGGCCTCCCGGGCCCTTCCGTTCTCTTCCTGTTTAGTCCCTGGGGAAGGACCGGGCTGGAGGCGCGCGGGGGTGCGCGGGGTGGAGCGAGGAGCCGGGACCTGGGCCCTGTGGACTGCGGGGAGAGAGCAGCCGCCGCAAGGCCTGGGCCAGCCGGTGGGGGAGTCGCTGGGACCTTGAGCCCTGCCGCACGGCCAGCTGCCCGCAGCCCCCGGGTGGTGGCTATCAGATGACCTCTAAGTCACTTGAAAGCCAGAGGGGGAGGTGAGTTCGCAGGTGTTTTCTCCTGAGTCTCCACGGCCCACTCCTCCTCTGAGGCCCAGAAGGGGAAGGGAGCTCGGGGCCTCTGTGGGTGGAGAGGGAGCCAGGCCATGGGGAGCCCAGCCCTGGGGTAGGTCAGAGGCCCCGGGCTGAGGGCTTTGTTTAAGGCCGGAGGCTACACTGTGAAGTGAAGAGGTGTGGGGGGGGCAGATTCCCACTCCCCTTTCTTCCTTGAGTTGGTACCCTTCCCCCACCCCCACCTTGGTCCCAGCCATGCCAGCTGCCACCTGCTGGGACTGTCTCCAGTTACAGTCTGCAGGCTGGATGGAGGTGAGAGAATTGGCCTGGGAAATGGCTCGTGTCCTGGCGAGGAAGGTAGGAGGGAGCGCTCCTCAGTCCTCTGGATCAGCCAAGGGCCTCCTCACTGGTTTAGTGCCACATGCACCTGTGGGGTTTTTCCTTTTCCTTTCTTTTTTTTTTTAAATTTGTTTTCTTTTATATATATATATATTATTTTTTTGGTCTTGCAGCAGGCTGGGTTGAGTTGAGGGTTGGATGAGAAGTCTTGGACAGTTGTTGGCCAAGGACACCGGGAAGGATGCGGTGCGTAGTTTAGGGGGTAAGCTGGGCTGGGAGCACAGAGCACAGGTGACAGGCCCGAGGGAGCAGCCTAGTCCCGGGTGGCAGCTGTGCTGCGTGAGCAAGAGAGCAAGCCGGGGAGGGAGGGAGAAGCCCTCGGGAAGGTAGGTGAGTGAGCAGCTGTTTGTGCCTGGAGAGGCCTAGGTGGGGGCCCTTGGTGACCAGTCTGTTGTCACCGTCCCCCCTTCTCTTTGTTCCTGTGTCTTATGCTTGGTCCTAGCGCAATTTCTTGGAGCCCATTTCTCCCTCCTGACCCAGCGCACCTCTCAGTACCAGTGAGGCCCTGCATGGTCCGCGCCTCTGGCCCTGCTTTAGCGGTCCAGTTCCTGTCCCTTCCCAGCTTCCCCTTGACCTGATGCCCAGCTGTAATGAATGATAAGTTGGTCCTGGGCCTGACCGCTCACAACTTCCTTCTGTGCTCACAGGAACCCTGTGGCGCGTGGATTTCTTGTCCCTTCCTCCAGAGAGCGGAAGGAAAGCCGCGATGTCGTTTCTCCCCACAGCAGCGGCTGTGACAGAGCTGTGCCACCTAAGTTCTGGCTGTAGATCTCTGCCCAGTGGTGTGCCGGGCCTTGAGACCCCTGGCTGAGCCTGGGAGATCCATGGAGGGTGTGACTGTGTGCAACATTGTCAGGGTGCTGGTTCCAAGCCGGCCACCGCAGGGCCTGGGGAGCTGGTGTCAGCCAGGCTGCTCTCTGAGCCCCCTGTACCTCTGTCCCACACCTCCCTTTGCCAAGCAGTTCTCCCAGGGTTCGCACACTAAGTCATCACTCCTGATTTGGGCTGTTGTGGGACTGCACGGTGGGGGCAACCTTGACACAGTGCCTGGGGGGGGGGGGCACCAGGATCTCCATGTCAGACTTTGCAGTTTCTCCTTGTTTTCAGTAGGTTTGGGGCCTGCCACTATGGGGGACATGAAGACCCCTGATTTCGACGATCTCCTTGCTGCCTTTGACATCCCTGACATTGATGCAAATGAAGCTATCCATTCTGGGCCAGAGGAAAATGAGGGGCCAGGTGGCCCTGGGAAGCCGGAAGCCAGTGAGGGAGGTGATTCCGAGGACAAAGCAGCGGCCGCTGCTGGGCCTGACCCTGCCGTTCCAGCCCAGGCCTCTGACCATGGCCTGCCACCATCGGACATCTCCACCGTCAGCGTCATTGTGAAGAACACGGGGTGTCCTGAGCAGGCTGAGAACCTGGCTGGGGGTTCCGGAGTGGAAGGGGTGTGGCCTGGTGGTGTCACCAGGGATGGTGCTGTAGGACCTCGGCTGCTGCAGAATGGCTTTGGGGGCCCCGAGCCCTCCCTTCCAGGAACCCCCCACTCTCCAGCTCCTCCCAGTGGGGGTGCCTGGAAAGAGAAAACCATGGAAGGCAAAGCTCCCTTGGACCTGTTTGCCCATTTCGGGCCTGAGCCTGAGAAGCATCCGGATCCCCTGCCTCCCTCTGCGCCTTCCCCGCCTCGGGAGGGGGCCATGAGCCCGCCCCCTTTCCCCTCTGCCTTTGAGTTGGTTTCTGAGAATGGGCCTGGCCTGCTGGGGACCCCGCCGGGCTCTGCCCCACTGCTGGGGACCTTGAAGCCGGGAAGCCCCCAGCACCCCCAGGGCCTTGCTCAGCGAGGCCCAAGCTCCAGCCCCGAGGCCACAGCCATCCCTGCCAGTGATTCGCCTCCACAGGTCGCTGGGGTGTCCTTCTTTAAGCAGTCTCCAGGGCACCAAAGCCCTCTCACCTCCCCCAAAGCGCCCAGTCGGAAGCCCCTGAAGGAAGAAGGGGGGCAGGACGACAAGTCTCCAGGAAGCCCCCAGAGCGCTTCCAGCGGAGCCGAAGCTGCGGATGAGGACAGCAATGACTCTCCTGGCTCCTCGAACTCCCGGCCCCTCAAGGTGCGGATCAAGACCATTAAAACATCCTGCGGAAATATCACAAGGACTGTCACCCGGGTCCCCTCTGACCCTGATCCTCCTGGGACCCCAGCCGAAGGAGCCTTTGTGGCTGAAGCTGGCCTCCTGAAGCTATCCCCCGCCACCCCGACCCCTGCCGAAGGGCCAAAGGTGGTGAGTGTACAGCTGGGGGATGGCACGAGGCTGAAGGGCACCGTGCTGCCTGTGGCCACCATCCAGAATGCCAGCACAGCCATGCTCATGGCTGCCAGCGTGGCCCGCAAGGCCGTGGTCCTGCCTGGGGGAGCGGCCACCAGCCCCAAGACTGTGGCTAAGAATGTGCTTGGCCTGGTGCCCCAAGCCCTGCCCAAGGCTGAGGGCCGGGCGGGACTGGGCACTGGGGGCCAGAAGGTAAATGGTGCCTCGGTGGTGATGGTGCAGCCTTCTAAGCCGGTGCCCGGGAGTGGGGGCGGTACGGTCATCTCCCGGACCCAGTCCAGCCTGGTGGAAGCCTTTAACAAGATCCTCAACAGCAAGAACCTGCTGCCTGCCTACCGGCCAAACCTGAGCCCACCGGCTGAGGCTGGGCTGGCCCTGCCTCCCACAGGCTACCGCTGTCTCGAGTGCGGGGACGCCTTCTCCCTGGAGAAGAGCCTGGCCCGCCACTATGACCGCCGCAGCATGCGCATTGAGGTCACCTGCAACCACTGTGCCCGCCGCCTGGTCTTCTTCAACAAGTGCAGCCTACTCCTCCATGCCCGCGAGCACAAGGACAAGGGGCTTGTCATGCAGTGCTCGCATCTGGTCATGAGGCCCGTAGCCCTCGACCAGATGGTGGGGCAGCCGGACATCACACCCCTGCTCCCCGTGGCTGTCCCACCCGCCCCTGGACCTCTGGCCTTGCCTGCCTTGGCTAAGGGCGAGGGGGCTATCGCCTCCTCTGCCATAACTGCAGCTGTCGCTGAGCCCCCGGTGCTGCCACTCTCAACAGAGCCTCCCACTGTTCCCGCCACCTCAGCGTACACGTGCTTCCGCTGCCTGGAGTGTAAGGAGCAGTGCCGGGACAAGGCTGGCATGGCAGCCCACTTCCAGCAGCTTGGGCCCCCTGCTCCTGGGGCCACCAGCAATGTGAGTTGGGTTGAGGTGGAGGGGGGAGAGGAATAGCCAGGTGCTGTTGGGGACAGGATCTAGGAAGCTACTGGGGGCTTTGCTAGGGAAAGGGGGCGGGGGGGGGAGAGACAGCCTTCAATCCCCTGACCTGCCGTGCTTCACCCCCTTGACAGGTGTGCCCCAGCTGTCCTATGATGCTGCCCAATCGTTGCAGCTTCAGCGCCCACCAGCGTGTGCACAAGAACCGAGCCCCTCATGTCTGTCCTGAATGTGGGGGCAACTTCCTGCAAGCCAATTTTCAGGCCCACCTCCGTGAGGCCTGTCTGCATTTCTCCCGCCGTGTAGGATACAGGTGCTGCCTGCTCTTCCTCTCCTGCCCTGTCTCCTCGGCCCCTCGTGGGACCTGAGGGTCTCATTTCTCCTGGCCCCAGCTTGCTAGCTGGCCGCACAAGGAGAGCCCATGTTCTCCTGTCTCTGTCTTCTGGTTGTTCCCCACAGGGACGAGGGTTACGAAGGCCACCTCCCTGGCAGGCCTGGGCCTTTGCGGCCACTCCCTGGTCCCCATTTCTTGGAGGACCAACGGTGTGGGGGGTGGAGATGCCCTCTGCTGCCTTGCCATGGTGCTTCCTGCTTCCTCCCCCAGGTGCCCCAGCTGTGCAGTGGTGTTTGGGGGTGTGAACTCCATCAAGTCTCACATCCAGGCGTCGCACTGCGAGGTTTTCCACAAGTGCCCCATCTGCCCCATGGCCTTCAAGTCTGGACCTAGTGCCCATGCCCATCTCTACTCCCAGCACCCCAGCTTCCTTTCCCAGCAGGCCAAGTGAGACTTGGGACGGATATCTGAGAAGGGGGGCCAGGGCTGGAGGACAGACTGGGGGTGGAGTGGTGGCCAGCTCTGCCTGAGGGGCACACCACCCTTCCTGTCTGCAGGCTCATCTATAAGTGTGCCATGTGCGACACGGTCTTCACCCACAAGCCCCTCCTGTCCTCGCACTTCGACCAGCACCTGCTGCCCCAGCGTGTCAGTGTCTTCAAGTGCCCATCTTGTCCTCTGCTCTTTGCCCAAAAGCGGACCATGCTGGAACATCTCAAGGTAGAAGCGTGGGGAGGCAGGCGGGGACTTGGCAGTCCTACAGCCCTGAGGAAGTGGGGAGCTGTGGGAGAGCCAAGGTCACCCCATAGCAGTCCTCCCCAGTATCTCCCTCTTAACAGAACACTCATCAGTCTGGACGTGTGGAGGAGACTGCAGGGAAGGGACCTGGGGGTGCACTCCTAACCCCCAAGCCTGAGCCGGAGGAGCTGGCTGTGTCTCAGGGAGGGGCAGCGGCGGCCACAGAGGAGTCATCGTCATCTTCTGAAGAGGAGGAGGTGCCCAGCTCCCCAGAGCCCCCCCGCTCAACTAAACGACCCCGGAGGGAGCTGGGCAGCAAAGGTGTCAAGGGGGGCGGCGGTGGGCCCGGCGGCTGGACCTGTGGCCTCTGTCACTCCTGGTTCCCTGAGCGGGATGAGTACGTGGCGCACATGAAGAAGGAGCATGGCAAGGTGAGCAGGCGGGCAGTGGGTGGGTGCAGGCAGGCCGTACCCATCACCAGGCACTGAGGTTCCCACCTGCTGCTCTCCTAGTCTGTGAAGAAGTTTCCCTGCCGCCTGTGTGAGCGCTCCTTCTGCTCCGCCCCCAGTCTGAGGCGCCATGTCAGGGTCAACCATGAGGGCATCAAGAGAGTGTATCCTTGCAGGTAACCCTTGCCCACCCCATTCCATCCACCCTTTCTACCCAGTAGGTGTGTCCCCTGCAGACCCCAAGGGCATCCCTTTGCTTACCTGTGAGCCTGACCTCTGCTCTGGTAGCTCCTGCCCCTCCTGGCTGTGGCTTTGGCTTTGGCCTTGAGCTGGGCACTGCCACCCTGCTGCTCACTCTCCCTGCCCTGCAGGTATTGCACAGAGGGCAAGCGGACCTTCAGCAGCCGCCTGATCCTGGAGAAGCACGTCCAGGTGCGGCATGGCCTGCCGCTTGGGGCCCAGTCCCCCGGCCGAGGGAATGCCTTGGCTCGGGGCCCTGGTGCCAGAGCCCAGGTAGGCAGAGGCTCGACCTGCTGTTAGGGACATGGAAGTGGGAGACTGCCGGGGCCGTGGGACTGATGGTGACGCCATTTCTTCTGCCCTGCTCCAGGGGCCAGCACGGAAGCGCCGCCAGTCTTCTGACTCATGCAGTGAGGAGCCTGACAGCACAACACCTCCTGCCAAGTCCCCCAGGAGTGGCCCTGGGTCAGGAGGCCATGGCCCGCTGCGCTATGGGAGCAGTGGCTCGGTGACAGAACCGAACCTGCTGGCAGGCCTGAGGGTGGATGGTGGTGCCCAGCAGTGCCTCGACTGTGGCCTGTGCTTTGCCTCTCCTGGCTCTCTGAGCCGCCATCGCTTCATCAGCCACAAAAAGAGACGGGGTGTGGGGAGATCAGGCGCTCTGGGGCTCGGGGAGGGGGAGGAGGAGGCCCCCCCTCCAGCAAGGTCTGACCCAGAGGGTGGGGACTCACCACTGGCCACCTCTGGAGGCCCACTGACCTGTAAGGTCTGTGGCAAGAGCTGTGATAGCCCGCTCAACCTCAAGACCCATTTCCGCACCCATGGCATGGCCTTCATCAGGGCACGGCAGGGAGGCAGTGGGGACAACTAAGCCTCCAGCCAAGCCTGGGACTGCTCACTGCCCCATCTGCCAGGAGCCTGGGTTTCACTGCTGCTGCCACCTGGTCCCTGGACCGGGGTGTTCCATTAACATTCACACTTTGTCCATTTCCTCTCCTCTCGGGAAAGCTTTTGAGGGTTATAGTTGTGTGCAGCCCCCCTCCCCAAGCCCTTGGGGTTTGGTTTGTTAGACGAGTGGCCTGCCATGCCTCCTTTCTGAACCCGACACTAATGCCCCTGCTGCAGACCGCCAGTGAGAAGTGGCGGTGGAGGGTGGGCTCAGGGTAGGGCTGGGGGAAGGGTGTCCTGACACCCCCCCCAGTGGACTCCTTAGGACAGACCGCAGTGGTCCTTAACTGGGCCACGTGCTAGCCTCTCCTGCCCCTTCTGCCCCACTCCCTGGCACTCAAGCCCCTGACTCCTGCAGTGCCTTTCACTTGTACTTTTCCCCCCAGAAATTGTAGGGAGGGGGTGTTGATGGGAATGAGTCCTGTTGGGGGCCCAAGGGAGAGGAGGGGACAGGCTCTCAGGAATGCTTTATTCTTGTAGTAATAATAATACTAACAGTGGGAGAAACTGGAGGGAGAGAGCTGGACCATTAAAACTGCTCATGGTGGAATCCCCATCCAGGCTATTCTTGTTGTGACTCAGACAGCATGGGCTGCACGGGCAGGGGAGAGCCAGCACTGGGGGAGCATCCTTTGCAAGGTGGCTTGGACCAGGACACAAGGAAAGGTCTTCCAGCTGTGTGTATCGCCTCCTGTCTCAGGCACTGAGGTATCTGTTCTCTTGTGACCCTCCTGCCCTCAAAACCCAACTCACAAAGGACACAGGTGGCTAACTAAGGACTTTATTTCAAACAAAAATCAAAAATAAAAAATTGAGAGCAGTTTCCCTGGGTGTCGGGAAGGGATCAGGGGAAGGAACCACAGCTAGGCCAATACCCTCAATACACTGGAGGGGTTGTGGTAATTCCCTTCCTCACCCCTGTGTTGGGGAACCTCAGCAAGTGTGGGGCTCCATGGCAGAGATTACGGAAGAGAACTCGCCTGGAACCAGTCCTGGGAGGGGCAGCAGCATGGCCACAGGCCAACCACAGAATCAAGTACCAAGAACCTACTCCTCCCTCCTTTCCTGGGACCGAGGGATGGAGCGGAAGGGGTCCCTCACAAGGGAGCGTCACCTCTGTGCTCTGGTGGGCTGTGAGTCCTGGAGCCCATCAGGTGGTAATACTGACAGCTGGGCAGCCAGAGCCCTGGCGAGTCTGCACCCTGGGGCTGGTTCTCCCACCCCGCTGGCAAGCTCTCACAGTTACCACATGATCCTTTATATTTCTTGCCTTTGTTTCCCTCAGGTGGATGGGTAGTGGGGTTTCTCAAACAGTTTTCATGGGGAGGGTGCCCGGCCCCCCCATAGTGTCACATGATGCCGTTGGTGAGGTACTGGAAGCCATCGTAGAGTTTGGTAGTGATGGAGCGCATGCTGCCGTCCACCATCTGTTCCACCAGCAGCTGGAGCTGCTCCTCGGTCATGCTCATGTGGAACCTCTCCTTGAGGTTGCGGATGGTGCTGGAGCCGTGGAAGCAAGGCAGCTGAGAACCTGGGGGAGGGAGTGGGGGACTCAGGGTTGTAGGAGGCCAGTGGGGAAGAAGTGAGCCCCCTGGGTGGCTGCAGTGGCCCTTCCTCCCACCTTCAAGAGCCCTGACAGTGGATGCAGTTTTGCTTGGGCAGACAGGGAGAAGGAATTGGTGAAAGGTCCTGTTGTGAGCCCACCTTCATTCCAGGCTAAGCCCTCTGATGGGGTTGGGGGCACACGGGCACATGGGGACATCTTTCCCCAGTGAGGGCTGGGGTTGGGAGGCTCTGGGGAATGGGCCCTGCGCTGGACACTTATCTGGTTGCAGGCCTCTGCCTATGCTACGTCTGACACTCACAGATGACCTGGGCCACCGTCCTCACGGGGCCAGACGGGGCTGCTCCTGAGCAACGGCGACAACCTGTGGGGTGGGGGCAGGGATGGGGAGGAGGGGAGACTGGCTGCTCAGGTCCAGGTCCATCTGGAGCCTTGGCGGGTGGGGTAAAGGCAAGGGCCCAGGGGCAGCGAGAGGAAGGGTTCCTGGGCCAAAGATCAGATGGGAAGGCAAGGAGGCAGCGCAGAGGAGGAAGAGAAAGGCAAGATAGGAAATATTTTCAGGCAGATATTTTGGGAGCAGAGGAGGTGAATGGCGAGGCCAGGGCAGTCAGACCTGAAGTGAGGTCTGGGGAGAGGGGAAGGGTGGTGAGGCCAGGGCAGTTGGGTTGGAGGGAATGAGGCATGGGGGTGTGGAGGAGGGACACTAGACACCCCTGAGCTGGGAAGCAGACAGTGATGGGAGAAACAAATGCAGAGGTGGACACAGGACAGGGAGCACAGAAGGACCCAGGAGGCTGCAAAGGGACTGTTCTCTCCCAGGCGAGGCCAAGAGGCAGCTCGTGCTGCCTGTTCCCTACTGTCCCCCAGACCCAGCTCTGCTGGGTCAGAGGAGCAGCCTGAAGGAGATAAGGCACTGGATCCCAGCTGGGAGCCCCGCCCGCAGCCCCTGGTCAAGTCCTGCACCTCAGGGCCCCAACTAGGCAGGAGCCCACAGCACCGCAGGCGGCCAGCCTCTCTCCAGCCCCACCTTGCTGCATGATCTCCACGATCTGCACCACCTTGTCCATATGCTTGCGGGCGGCGATCAGCCCTTGCAGCATCAGCATCTTGTAGTAGTTGAACATGTCTCCATCCAGCCCGCCCATCACCTGGATAAGGAGGAGAGTTGTGTGTGCAAGGGGCCTAGTGCTTGGATGGGCCCTGTTTGTGTCCCAATGCCTGCCAGAACTCTTCCTTCCTTTCCTTAGGGCGATCACGCCCAACTTTGTTACTTCCCCACTTCCTTGCCAGGCAGGAAGCTCTCAAGAAACCCTGCTTCATACTGACTGGCGGCCATTAAGGTGCAATTGGTCCTGCCATGTTTCCCCTTCCCAGCACGGAGGAATGCAGGGACACCTCTTCTTGACTCACATCCACAAACTCAGTGGTCAGCTTAAAGGCTGATGTCTCAAAGCCCAGGTTTCGAGGCGAGCTGGAAAGGATGAACCCAAAATCGATGTGGATGATGTGGCCTTCTGCGTCCAAGAGGATGTTCCCGTTGTGTCTGAGGAAGGAGGGGGGAAGGAAGAGATGGCAGTGAGTCTCATCGAGGCCTTGTGATACCAGCAGGATGGCCAGTTCCTAGGATCTACTACAGTTAGCAGTAAAAAGGCAGGAAGAAAACATGGGACTGGTGTGATGGTTCAACTGGCGAGACCTTTGCTGGCGAGTGCTGGGATCCCCTATGGGCTCTGGTTCCTGTTCTGGTTGCTCCACATCCATTTAGCTTTTTGTTTACGGGAAAGCAGCAGAGGATGGCCCAAAGTCTTGGGAACCTACACCCATGTGGGAAACTTGAAGAAGCTGTGGGCTTCTGGCCAACTCAGCTCCAGCCATTGTAGCCACTGAGGAGTGAACCAGCAGGTAGAAGATATTTGTCTCTTCTCTCTAAATCTGCCTTTCCAACAAAAAGAAATCTTAAAAACGAAACAGGAACCCCCCCCCCCCCATTTCAAGTACCCAAAATGATCTAGTAGAGAATCCAGAGCTTTAGAAAAATAAATAAAACGAAAAATAGAAACAATAACAACAAAAAACTAAAATGAGAGTCCAGAAAGGAAAGGAAATCTCTGAGGCCCCAGAGGCTGTGCCCTCTGCTCGGCGGGAAGGCTACCTCCATCTGCATGTTATTTGAATTGTCAGTCCCTTACACATCGCAGCCCTGTTAGCAGGAAGCAGGAACCAGAGACAAGCAGACCGAGTGGGCTCTCAAGGTAACTGTGCATTAGGACTTCAACGAGACAGTTTTCAGTCCCTCATGTAACAGTGTGAGGAGGTAGGTGTGGCAGGCCGGCCGTGGGAGCGTGCTGGGATAGACTCAAGCTCTGTGCGGTCCCCACAGGAGCTGCCCGTAGAAAGAACAATGCACAGGCTACACAGGTAAGCCCCGGCCCATGCAGCATGACTGTCCTGGGTGTCAAAGCGACTCTGTTGAGGGCCACCTTTTCTGGGGCTACTGGGATGGACCAAGTGGAAAAACAGTGCCACCAGAGACCTTTCCTCTGAGGAAATATGAAGGATTTTTTTTTTAATATGAAGGATTTAGTGGCAGGACCCAGTGTTGGGAGCCACGAGGTCCTGGGAGATGTCAGTCCACTCTCACTTTACAGGTGAGGAGGAATCGGAAGCTGAGAGGGGAAGACCTAGTTTGCTCAGGGTCCCCAGGTTAGTGAGGGGAAGTCTTTTTTTTTCTAATGGATGGAGTCAGCTCTGGTGGAAAAGCCATTTGGGACTCTGCGAAGCAGGTACAGATCTGGAGACCTGCTTCCCGGCTTGGGGGCGGAGACAGGTGGAGACACCCAGGCCCCACAATGGAGCACCTGTTTGATCCCTGGCTCAGGCTTCTGATTCAAGCTTCCTTTGGAGAAAGACCCTGAGAACTGTTAATGACTCAAGTAATTATCATATTACTATGACTCACGTGGCTGGCCTGGATTGAATGGTCTAGCACAGGGTTAAGACACTGAGATGCCCACATCCCACAGTGCAGTGCCTGGGCTTGAGTCCTGGCTCCACATTCCATGCCAGTCTGCTGCTAACATGTACCCTTGGCAGCAGCAGTACTTGGTTCCCTGCTGCCTATAGGGAAGAGCCACAGTTCTAGGCTCCCAGCTTCAGCCTGGCTCAGTCCCAGCCACTGCAGGTGTTTGGGGAGCGAACCAGTGTACGGAAGATCTGTCTGTCTCTGCCTTTAAAATCAAATCAATAACAAAACAACACAACAAAACCTGATCCTAGCTTAGGGCCCCATCCATTGCTGTCCCTTCCTTCTAGTGGCTGATTCCACTCATGGCCACACCACATTCGTTCTTTGTTGTGGAATGAACTATTTATTAGGTAGATCCCTGCTCATACCACCCTTTTAAGACTCGTCTTCCAAGCCTGCTGGTTTCTTAATGGAAGGCCCTAAAGCTGGATGCGCACTGTCTCAGCCGCTCGGTGACTCACTCCAGCTGAGGCCTAGGCTCCTGTGTTCCATATCCTTACTCGGCAGGGACACTCTGAAGCTTCCAACTGCTTTCTCCATGAATAATGACATTTCCCTTTGGCTCTGCTGGTCCACCTGCAGGCCTGGGGGGTGGAATGACTGGAATTAAGCATTACCTGACCGGTAATTCCCTCAGGAAGAAAACCTTGTCTAGCAAGGTTTCCATTTGGTTTAAATGTAAAAAGGTCAAGCCATGGTGGGATCACACAGACATGAGATTTCTCCTGAGCTGCTCTTCATGGGCTACCTTGCCACTGAGAGCTTGGGCAGCACTGCCCGGTGTGCTGCCTTCCAAGGACAGTTGCCCTATACCCAAGGTGAGGTGCTGTCACAGGAGTGGGAGGGCACAGCTCTTGCTGTCTGCAGCCACCCTTAGAGGGCAGGGCCCTGGTGGTCTGATTACTCACATGCCTCACCTGGGTGTGTGTTTAGGCTGTATAAAGGTCATAAGATGTTGTTACTACTATTTTTTAAAGGCGGAGAGGAATTGTGGCACAGAAGGTGAAGCTGCTTCCTGCAATGCTGGAAAACCTTAAGCGGAGTGTAAGTCCCACTTGCTCCTGGGAAAAAAAGCAGGAGCAGATGGGACAGATACTCCTGCTGTCCAGTTTAAGACCAGGATGGGTTCTGGGTTCCTGGCTCCCGGCTCTGGAGTGGTCCTGCCCTGGCTGTTGCAGTCATCTGCAAAGTGAACCAATAAATGGAAGAAAGATCTTTTTTTCTCTCTGATGTTTTTTTTTTTCTGATGTTCTTTCGAACAAATACATAAATAGTAAGATTTATTTTATTTTTATTGGAAAATCAGATTTACAGAGAGAGAAAGATCTTCTATTGGCTGGTTCACTCCCTCAAGTGTCTGCAGTGGCCCGAGCTGAGCTGATCCGAAGCCAGGAGCTGCTTCTGTGTCTTCCATGTAGGTACAGGGTCCTAAGGATTTTTTTTTAAAAGATTTATTTATTTATTTTTTTGGAAAGGCAGATATACAAAGAGGAGGAGATAGAGAGGAAAATCTTCCATCAGCTTATTCACTCCCCAAGTGGCTTCAATGGTCGGAGCTGAGCTGATTGTAGCCAACAGCCAGGAGTTCTTCCGGGTCTCCCATGCAGGTGCAAGGTCCCAAGGCTTTGGGCTGTCCTTGACTGCTTTCCCAGGCCACAAGCAAAGAGCTGGATGGGAAGTAAGGCTGCCGGGATTAGAACCGGCGCCCATATGGGATCCCAGCGCGTTCAGGGGAGGACTTTAACTACTGCGCTATCGTGCCGGGCCCAGGGTCCTAAGGTTTTAGACCATCTCCAGCTGCTTTCCCAGTACAGGGAGCTGAAAGGGAAGTGGTGCAGACGGGACATGAACCAGCACCCATATGGAATCTCAGTGTGTGGAAGGTGAGGATTTAGCGAGTAACCTATCATGTCAGGCCCACAAATTAAGAAAAAGGAAAAGGTAGAGAACTGCCATCTGCTGTTTTAATCCTTCAATGTCATCAGTGGTTGTGGAGGCTGAAGTCAGGAGACAAAACCTGGTTTCCCATGTTAGTGGCAAGAACTCAGTGTCCTGAGTCATCACTGCCACCTCCCAGGGTGCACATCAGCAGCAAGCCGGAGGCAAGAGCCAGAACTGGGGACTGAACCCACGAATTGCAAGAGAAGATGCAGCAAGCCTGTCATTTATTATTTTTTAAAGATTTATTTACTTACTTGAAAGTCACAATTATAGATATAGGGAAAAAGAGACAGAGAATGGGCTCAGCATGGTAGCCTACTGGCTAAAGTCCTCGCCTTGCATGCACTGGGATCCATATGAGCACTAGTTTGTGTTCCAGCTGCTCCATTTCCCTTCCAGCTCCCTGTTTGTGGACTGGGAAAGCAGTTGAGGATGGGCCAAAGCTTGGGACCCTGCACCCACTTGGGAAACCCAAAAGCAGCTCCCGGCTCCTGGTTTTGGATCGGCTCAGCTTTGGCTGTTGTGGCTACTTGGGCATTGAACCAGTGATGGAAGATCTTTCTCTCTGTCTCTTTTTTTCTCTGTATTACTGACTTTCTGATAAAAATAAATAAATCTTAAAAAAAAAAAAAGAGGGAGACAGAGAAACTCTTCTATCCACTGGCTACAGGAGCCAGCATGCTCTAGGTTTCCCATGTGAGTGCAAGGCCTCAAGTACTTGGGCCGTCCTCTGCTGCTTTCCCAGGCCATCAGCACGGAGCTGGATCAGAAGCGGAAGCAGCCAGGCCATGATATCCAATGTGTATATAGGATGCTGGCATTACAGGTGGTGGCTTTGCTTGCTATGCCAGAATACCAGCCCCTATCAACTGCTAAGCCAAATGTCTGTTCCTCATGTGGTGTTAACAGAAATGACATTTCTGGGTAAAATAACAGACACTTTAAAAAGTTGGGGAAGTCACATGTTGGAGTAAAGAGAGCTCCCAGTTTGAAAATTTAACTTCCTCTTCTCTGCACTGTCTTATACCCACCCTCACCTTTTTATTCCCCCAAATTTATTTTATGTATCTGAAAGCACAGAATAACTAACTGTGAGTGATAAAGATTTCATCCTTAGGCTCACTCCTCAAATGGCTGCAGTGGCTGGGGCTGGGACAGACTGTGAAGCCAGGAATTTAATCTGGGTCTCTCATGTAGGACCACAAGTACTTGGGCCATCTTTAACTGTCTTCCCGGGTGCTATGACAGGGATCTGGATTGAAAGTTCAGAAACCACGACTTAAACCAGAATGGGATCCTGGTATCATAAGTGGTGGCTTAACACCCTGTGCCACAATGCTGTCCTATCCCATCTTCTTGTCTTCTTTCTGCTCTCATGCCAGGTCCCATTACCTCTTGTGCTGTTGCTAATGGTCCAATGATATTCACCCTCACCGAGGGTGCCATTGGGTATTTATTCCAAAGGCCGGATGAAGTTTCTGCTCTGCTGGCAAAATCAAATGGCCTCAGCTTAGTTGTCTGATGTCACTGCCATGTCATGGCTCCCCGTCATACAGTGCAGCCCAAACTTCCACCACACTGCATCCTAAGGAATGTGGTTCCCCTGCCACCTGCCTTCTTTGTCCTCATTTTCCCACATCCTTTAAGATCCTGCTCTCTCAAGCCTTCTATTCTCCCACAAACCCTTCAATTCTTTGCTCTTTTACTGAAGCCCTTATCAATCTGCCTCCTGGGCTTAACACCACGCAAACACATCAGTTTCTACTAGGCACAGGTGGCTTGTTCCAGCTTTACTTCCTGGCAATGGAAGATGGTGAGGATGTTAACTAAGAGCTACCCATGAAGGATTACAGAGGGAACCCTGAAGACAGGAGAGAGGGAGAGGCTGAAGTCACCTACCTGTCCTTGACTTGCAGCAGGTAGCAGACCAAGCAGTAGCCAGCACAACTTTGCACAAAATTGCGCTGGGCACTAAGGAATGCCTCGGTGGTGTAACTGCCATGCTCCTGGAGGAAGTAATCGAGCAGGGAGAGCTGGGACTGTTTCTTCACCTGGTGGATGGACACGGCATTGACCACTGGCTCAATCATGCCACTGTCAGCCGAAATGACGAGGATCTTGTATGGCTTGATCCAAAGAGGCACTCGCTCCTGTTCCCAGATGGACTGTGAGGAGGAAACACACTGGGGTCAGGACATACATCTCTCTCCACACTAGGGGAGGAAGCTAACCTCCTCGTTTTTTCAACTTGTCTTGATGATCCTGGATTTCTGACCATTAAGTATGACTCTCTGATCTTCCTGGGGGCCGGGGCCCAACAAAAAACAGGAAACTGGCTGAAGGTATATGGGCGAGAGGCACCTTACTGGCAGCAGGGCCAAGAAAGAGAATGGGAAATCTCATTATTACCTCACAACCAGAGAGAGTGGAGGGTTAGTAATATAATTTCAAAGCTTAAAAGACACACACACCTACACACACACAAAAAAACAAAAAACCTTAGGTCCAAAGAAAGATGCTATAATTTTTTTTTAAATGACATATTTACTTATTTGTTTTTAAAAAGTTATTAAGAGTTTTGTGGTGCAGTGAGTATAGCTGTGGCTTAGGATGTCCACACCCCATGATGGTCCAGGATACTCCATGCTTCTGATGCAGCTTCCTGCTAATGCACCCAGAAGGCAGTGAAAGATGGCCCAAGTACTTGAGTTCCTGCCACTCATGGAGCAGACCTGGATGCAGTCCTGGCTTTGGCCCGGCCCATACCTGGCTGTTGTGTGGACATTTGGGGAATAAACCAGTAGATGGAAAATCAATTAATCTCTCTTACTCTACCTTTCAAGTAGATAAATCTTAAAAAATTAGTTTGTAAGACATTTATTTTACAGGCAGAGAGACAAAAAGTCAGACAGAGGGGCTCCCATTTTTTAATTCACTCCCCAATACCCATAACAGAAGGGCTGGATTGGGCCAAAGTTGAGCCTGAACTCTACGTGGGTCTCCCACATGGGGAGCAGGGACCCAAGTACGTAAGCCACTACCTACTCCCTCAGGAGGTACACCGGCAGGAAACTGGAAGTGGTAACAGATCTGGGATGCAAACCCAGGCACACTGCTACTGCAGGTGGGCTGTCCCAAGAAGCATCTCATTCACTGTATCAAAAGCAGTACCACGAACTGGATTAACCAGATGAACTTACTACTTTGTGACCAACCCAGGGGGCCCAGGGGATCAATACCTTGGCACACTGTAATCCAGCGGCCACAGACCGTTTGGAAAGCTGTGCTCTAAAGGACACCCCCAGCACAGCACCTGGGAGTTATGTCCTGGGACAAGGCAGGTGCAGTTCACAAACAGGTCAAAAGAGGCCGCTGTGGAGCTGTTCCTCTGGCTGTGTTTCCCAAGGGAAACAGCTTTTGTTTAATGCGCTTCTTTGGACAGGAAGCTGGTTCCCAGCAGAACTCCCTGCAGAACACCCTCTGTGGTCATCTCCTGTGTATTGGAACTAGGCCAAATCTCTATTTCTCCTTCTCTTACCTGCAGCTGCTTCAACACCTGGAAGGCCAGCAGCTCCTGCCGAAGGTCATCGCCACACTTGACTATGACTGACAGGAGCCGCCAGTTGGGGAGATGGCCATAGGGGGACCCCTCCCTGATCCGCCTGTGAGGAGAGAAGTAAAGGGTGTCAGAGAGTGGCGCCTGGGTGAGGAGAAGGACTCAGAGTTTCTACTGGAAGTCCAAAGCTATCACTCCTTAAGGTAAGAGTCTGGAGTGCCAGGGTGCCTGGAGTTTTGGGGGCTGATACACGACAGAGATGTGAGGTGAGCACCTGCTTTGAGTAGGGAGTAGGCGTCACTGCCCACCAACTCACCGCACTTTTTCCTGCCAGGGCTCTTTGAGAGCAACTGCAGAAGGGTCCTCTGGGTCCCGTTTGAAGGCTGTCGGGGTGTGAGCCAGCTGTTCTGAAAGGCGTCGCCTGGCAGGAAGAAAACAGAGCACCGGCTTGGAGGGGCTAGCCCAGGGCCTCGGGTCCGTGTCTATACTGGCTCTTCCTGCACTGCTTCCTAGCTTCTGGACACACAAAGAGACTGAGAAGGTTGTGGAAGGAAACACAGCCAGCGATACTGCTTTCTTGCTAACCCCATGGTCTATAATCATGCAGACTCCCCAGGCACAGGCTTTGTGGTGCAGAGCTATTGGGATACCTGCATCCATAGGGGAGAGCTGGGTCAAGTTAAGTCAACATCCTGTTCATGTGCCCGGGAGGTGGTGGTTGACAGCCCAGGTACTTGGGCCTCTGTCCTATACATGGGAGACCTGGATGGAGTCCTGACTCTTGGCTTTAGCCTAATCTAGCTCTGGTAGTCAACATGCATTTGTGCAATCAACAGATGGAAGCTCTCTCTATCCTTTTCTGTTGCTCTGCCTTTCAAATAAATATCAGTCTTTTAAGAAATGCAGATTAACAGGTCCTCCACATTCCTCTACCAAGACTGATTCAGAATAACACATAAGACAAGAATGTGTATTTTCAACAGGGTACTGCCTCTTCTTTGATGTCAACACATAACACTTTGAGATTCCACTTAAAGAAATACGGAATTCCTGGGTTGGCGCAACAGCCTAGCGGCCCTGCTTCCCATCCAGCTCCCTGCTTGTGGCCTGGGAAAGCAGTCGAGGATGGGCCAAACCTTGGGACCCTGCAACTGTGTGGCAGACCCAGAAGAGGTTCCTGGCTCCTGGCTTCGGACTGGCTCAGTTCTGGCTGTTGTTGCCGCTTGGGAGTGAACCATCAGATGGAAGATCTTCCTCTCTGTCTTTCCTCCTCTTTATGTCACTTTCTAATAAAAATAAATCTTTAAAAAAATAATAAAAAAAATACAGAAGTCTTTCCTCTGGTCCCCTTACTCCTCTGAGTCCTTTTGAACTTGGTTTTCCTTCTGTAGTAACCCAAGTAATTATTCAATCTATATCTTCACTGACTGGAGTTTTGTGGCTTCAGGACAAGGACTGAAAAAGGAGAGAAAAGGGAGAGACAGAAGCTGGCAGGAAAGGGGACAAGGAGACAGGCGGTGCCCAACAGAGGGATGCAACGTGGGGCCTGGCCATACCGGATGTCCCCCGCTGCAATGAACACAGGCTCCTTGCTCTCTTGGCTGGTGATGCTGTCCACAGAGAACTGGGAGATGTTGTCACAGCTGTTGGTGTGTACCTCAGGGAGCTGGGAAGAGCATGGAGTGATGGTCAGAAATGCTTGCTCGCCATCCCATGGCATGTTCTCCCCTCTCTTCCAAATAGCCTCCTCTGGGTGCTGTGGTGCAGGTTAAGCCATTTGGAATTGTCTGCATGCCACATTGGAGTGCTTGCTCAAGTCCTGGCTACTCTGCTTCCAACCCAGCTGCCTAGGAATGGGCCTAGGAGGTAACAGATAGACTTGAGTTCCTGTCACTCATGTGGGAAGCCCAGATGGGAGCTCCTGGCTTCCATCTGGTCTAGCTCCAGCTGTTGTGGCCATTTGAGGAGTGAATCAGTGGATGTAAGCTCTCTATCTCTCCCTGTGTGTCACTCTGCCTTTCAAATAATAAATAACTTAAAAAAAAGTTATTTATTATTTGAAAGGCAGAGTGGCAGAGAAGAATAGAAAGGAAGAGAGATTATCCATTTACTGGTTTACTCCCCACATGGTTACAATGGCTGAAGCCAGGACAGGCTGAAGCCAGGATCTAGGAGCTTCTTCTGGGACTCCCCACACGGGTGGCAGGGGCCCAAGGACTTGGGTCATCTGCCACTCTTTTCCCAGGTGCATTGGCAGGAAGCTGGATTGGAAGTAGAGCAGCTCAGATTTGAACTGGTGCCAAAATGAGATTGTGGCATTGCAGGCAGCTGCTCTGTTGGCTATGCCATAGTACCAGCCATAATAACTCTTAACAAACCAAAAAACCCAAAACCAAAAAGCCCGTCCTAATTATAAACCATCCTGGCCACTTGGATCCCAAAGTGCCTGGGACTCACATTCGACTTTGATAGCAATTATTCTCATTCAGTGTGAATTGTCTTTGTCAGAATTTCCTGGGGGTGTCTCATAAAAGGAAGGTTCCCACGTTCTACCAGCAGTGAGAACAAGAACTACTGGGAATGAAATCTGAAGTTTAAATTATTCTGCAGTAGTTTGCCATGACTGTTGCAGACACCTGAATTTTCAGTCTCATTGACAGTTCCATCCTTCCTTACGGTTCAAAGCAACTCTAAGACTAGATTCCTCTGCTCATTTCTTCAATCTCATCCTCCCCTCAAAGGCCCATATCAAGTTCCTTCTCTCCTTCCTTTGTATGAGACCGTTTCACCTTCATTTTGCCTTGATACCATTTGTCACCTCATGCACACTACACTGGATATTTTTTTTCTCTTTAAATGTCTTTGTGTAATCTTCCCAATGTGACTGTAAGCTCAAAGACAAAGATCCTTCCTTTAAATAATTTTTAAAATTTGAAAGGCAGAGCCAGAGAGAGAAAGATTGATTCTCCGTCCACTGGGTCACTTCCCAAACGACTTTAATGGCTGGGGCTTGACCATACCCAAGTGCCAAGAGCTTCATCTAGGTCTTCTACATGATTGGCACAGGCCCAAGCCCCTAGACCATCTTCTACTGCTTTCCCAGGTGCATTATCAGGGAGCTGGTTTAGAAGTGGAACAGCTGGGTTCAGTGCAGTGACCTAGCAACTAAAGTCCTCTCCTTCAATGTGCCAGGATCCCATATGGATGCCGGTTCTAATCCCGGCAGCCCTGCTTCCCATCCAGCTCCCTGCTTGTGGCCTGGGAAAGCAGCTGAGGACGGCCCAAAGCCTTGGGACCCTGAATCTGCATGGGAGACCTGGAAGAAGCTCCCGGCTCCTGGCTTCGGATTGGCTCAACTCCAGCCATTGTGGCCACTTGGGGACTGAATCATTGGACGGAAGTTCTTCCTCTCTGTCTTCCTGCCTTTCCAAAAAAAAAAAAAAGAAGAAGAAGTGGAACAGCTGGGACTCACAGGGGGTGGTGGTGCTTTAGGCAGCAACTTAACCTACTGCGCCATAATGCTCACCCTGAGATTTTGCATTTGCACAAGTAAAAGCTGGTTATGTGAATGACCTTCCATAAAATCTTGTTTTAGGGGCCAGCACTGTGGTACAGTGGGTTAAACTGCCACCTGCAACTGAACCAGGTAAACACTAATTTGAGTATTGGGTCTTCCATTTCCTATTTGGCTCCCTGCTAAAGCAGTGAAAAGCGGCTATAGTATTTGGGCTCCTGTTACCGATGTGGGAGATGTGGATGAGCTGCTGGCGTCAACCCAGCCTAGCCCTTGTTGGTGTGCTCACTGAGGGAGTAAATCAGCAGTCAGATGCTTTCTCTGTGTTTCTCTCTCTCTCTGCCACCCTGCCTTTCAAATACATGAATAAATATTTAGAAAAACCCTCTTGCTCTGGCCTCCTTAACCTTGGAATAAAATTCAAATTTTAGTCTGGCCCATAATCTCAGCCTTTGCCACTTTTTACCTCCTATTCACACATCTCAGCCACACAAAATTTCTTTCAGTTTTTAAAATGGGCCTACCTTTTGTTTTCTAGTCCTCGACTAGGTAATTCCTACACGTTTCAGGTTTCAGAAGATTATATCCCCCGTGACATTTTTTTGTGACGCCTACCCCAGGTATGTAATAGGTACCACCCTCACCCTTTGGTGTTTCCATAGTGCCCAATCTTCCCCAAAGACTGGATCATGCCATACCACAACTCCCTGCTTCCTGGTCCTGCTCTCTTTCCTATTGGGGCACAGCCTCTTTGCAGGCTGGGATTCCATCTTGTTCGCAAGCACATGGTACTCAGGTTAGCATAAAAGCCCTCATTCACTCCCGAAGTAATGAAGGCCTTTTTATTTCCAGCTCCATAAGGTGACTCTATAGAGTAGGGTCCACCATTTTTACTCAGTTTCCCTCATTCTTCTAGACCCAGTAGTTGTTCCTCACATTTAACCTAGATTCCTTCTGTGGAAGAACAAGCTCCACCTGAATCTATTCTGGGCTAGAGCTGTTCCGAGCTTCCCCTCTCACCTCTTTACCTCCTCCCTCCCTACACCAACCTTTCAGCCCTCACCCTGCCCGGGTGTGTGACCTTCCCTCACAGATCCTGAAAGTTCCTGGGGAACGAGTGCTATGCTCCGTTATTACCTCCTTGGGGGCTCCCTCACCTCCACTTGCAGATCACCTATGTCGTCCACTGACCAGGCCTCGTCGTCGTTGTCATAATTGGGCACTGTGCTGAAGCTACCTGCCCGCTGCTCGTGGGTGATACCACACTCGGGCAGGTTCTCCACAGACCGAGTGCTTCGGATGCGGTTCTCGGGGATCCGGGCAGGAACACTGGTGGTGTCAAAGTTTTCACATTCAAGGACTTCTACGTAGATCAGGTAAGGAGCCTGAGGGGAAAAGTCAGCCCCGTGTTTGCAATTTGTCACCTCCACTGTCCCCTAAATCTCCACTCTGCTAACATGGTGCTTCCTGGGGCTCTCTCCAAGCTCCAGCCCTTACTCATGCTTCCCTGATACTATCCTGAAACATTGTATCTGGGGCAGGAAACTGTCCTACCATCATCTACATAAAGAATTTGGGTAACAGAATATAAGAATCTTTAAAATGTACAGAACATGATCTACTTTGGCAAAACTCCCCCAGTCTACCAGTTACAGCCTGTTAGGTCTGGAAGCCTCTGGGGTCTAGTTCTAAAGACATAATCCATGGAGCTGCTGCCACCACCAAGCCTGGGATGAGACTCAGCACTGACCCAAGGGAGCCATGACGACTCATTCTGACTAGCAGGCAACTTCAGCTCATTTCTCTGACATAAGCTGGGCATCTTTCTCTCCTTTCTGCCCACTCTGATCAGAAATGTCTTATACACAAAGTACTTCTATACCCTCCTGGCTGCTATTCCTGAGATATCTACAAGTTACAGAGGGCTGCAGAAGGGCTACCATGAACAACTTCAAGGACAGGGTGGACAGCAATTCTCCTAAGACACAGTAGGGGGTGAGCTTGAAAAGATTAGGCCCCTTTGGTCAAGAACAGTCCAAGAAGCAGGACAGGAGAAGAGGGTGCTCAGAAATACAACAGCGAGGTAGTCAGGACTGACACAAACAGGATAAACTAGGAGGAGAGTCTAGGATGTTGGAAGATACATCACTGGCATAGGCCAAAACTCTCAACACCCATGGGAACAGAATTGGATCAGAGGTAGAATTTGGGCTGCAGCCCACCTACCTTGTCCTTGGAGTTGAGGACAACAGCCTGTGTGTGGGGCACGCGGACCACGTGGTGGTCAAAGCCAGCAGTGGGCAGCCAGACTCGAGCAGGGAGCTTGTGGTTGAGCAGGGAGAGTTCTGAGATCAACCGCTGTGTTTTCTGCTCTTTGGTGGGGAGAGTGGCCAGTCGCTTGCCAATTGCCATCAGGGACTTAATGAACTCTCGCTCAGGAGCCAGTCGGACCGGCTGTAGGGGGTTGGGGAAGAAACAAGAGGTGGTGAAAAACCATAGACAAAACAGACCCACCCATTCGATTTCTCTTAATCATGCAGATCTGAGAGGCAGTGCAAGAGAACTCGAGGAAGGAGCTGCCTTTTTTGCCCTTGTAGGTGATCCCTGTCCCACTCAGTCTGATTTGGGACAGTTAGCACATCCCTTCTCTTCTAGCTATTTCTCTAAGCTGTAGCACTCTTTTCCAGAACCTCGTATCCTCAAGGATTGTCTCAAGGGCGGGGGGACACCATCTGGAGAAGTTAGCCAGGTCTGAGAAGAGCTGCTTACACTTGGACTGCTTGACCCATCTCAAGAATGGGATTGTCCTTCTTCCCAACTGGTTCCTTGGGCTGCATTCCTGCTGAGGGACCTCACAAGGCTAGGGCAGTTCCCTTTCATTCAGATGACTGCTGTTGCTTTCATGGCATCCCCTTGTCCCTTATCCCGATTCTTACAAAGGATCCATGCACATGCAGAGGAGGGGCAGAGCTGGCATCAGTGAGGGCACAGACAAGAGAGAAAGAACAGGTTGATGGCAGAACAGAGCGATGAGGAAGTGAATGATGCAATGATAACACCATCTAGTATACTAGAGGAGGACCCTGAAGGCCTCTCCTACCTCCCTGCTGTAGATCTGGCTCCTCAGCCCTGGGCACCACAATCATCCCCAAAGAGGGGTTGGGCAGAGTTAGTCTTGGGAGTGAGGGTGGGCTGGGGGAAAGGACGGACCCAGCTAGACAGAAGAGCATTTTCCCCTAGACCAAGTTCTCCTAGCATAAGGGACATGTAGTGGAGGCAGCTGCCCCCTCTTGCTGTGGCTGCACAAGAACAGCATCTCCTCCTCTTGAAGAAATCATCTTTCTACTCACTGGGCTTTCCTCTTTGCTTTCTGCGTCTCGTTTGGTTTCCTAAGGGTATCTACCCTGAATCTTTCACATTGCAGGGGGAGAAAAGGAGCTTCTTTTAAAAACTGGGAGGTTCTAGCACTGCCAGGATTCCAAGAAACATCTCATCTCTCCTCAGCCTTCACCCCAGTGGGACAGGCTCAGAACACTAGACAAGGGGACCTGCAGTCAGTCATGGATGCTTTAGGGGGCAGGGCTGATAAGCGCAAAGGAAAAGGAAGAACACAGAGTTGGGCTTTCGTATCATCCTAGGGACCTGAGAAAGCGGGAACTGGCAGACCCAGTTGCCTTTTCATCCAGCTCCGGTGGTCATCGGCACTGCCATAGGGCCCCTCCACTCAGCTGCCATCAGTCAGCTCAGGTCAGCAAAGGCGGGATCCCCTCCCCTCCTTGAATCAGCATTTGGACCCCTAGGTCAGGTGGATGTGAGAAAGGGGCCCTGCCACACGGGAGGGGACAGGGATCAGGACTGAAACACAGGTCAGCACAGAACATAGAAAGCTGATTGGATAAACAAATCAAAAATCAAACGTAAAAAAAAAATCATCCAAACTCCCAGAAGGTCCAGCATTTCCTCTCACGTCTTTGCCCAGGAACAAGGTCTAAGCCCCTGGGGGACCAGCGGGAAGGGGTTAGTCCAGAGGGAAGGAGAAAGGAGAATGAGGATGGAGGAACATCCTGGAGAGTGAGCTGGGGCAGGAGTGGGGGGAGCAAGAACTTGAATCCTGAAGAAATGTGGTTGAAGCTTAAAAAAGCAGATCAGTTGTGGGGGGAGGTAGAAGTTTCCTTAAAGCTCTGGAGTCAGTTCACGCGGCACAGGGCCTAGCATTACAGACTCTGAACAAACGTCTGATGGCCTGACGGCAGGAGCCACGGGGAAAAGATTCTGGGTGGGAGAAACAGGATCCTGGGGGTTTCTGCCAAGTGGTTCTTGGCTGCAACCCAGGAGTTAAATTCCCTCGGCTGTTTGCTCCAGAGACCTGGAACTGAGGGTGGAGTGGCGCCGCAGCCTGTCTCTGGGAGAAGGCTCAAATGCCAAGTTGAGCTGTCTCAACCTGGGCAAGCAGGGCACAGGCAGCAGAGGTCAGAATGACACCTCCTGGTTCAGGAGGGTCTGGGAGGAAGGAGCTGATCTCCCTGGAAGAAAACGGGTCTTTTAGTTCCAGCCTCGGCCTGGGAGCTTGGAAGGCCTGGGGACGGAGAGGAAATGCGGCCGTGCTTGTGGTCGGGGGATCCTGCCACCCAGTCCCCAGCCTGGCCCCACTTACGGAACTGAATGAATTATCAATACTCTCGGTGCTGGAGGAGAGCTCCTGGGAAAGGGCCGGAGGACGAGGGGAGGAAGGGGGAGCAGGGAGGGAGGGGAAGAGAGACAAAGGCAAAGAATTTAGCTCCACCTTGGATCACAACTGCTTCTCTTGTGTAGCTCTACCTTCCTGCTTTAACCAAGGGAAGTCAATCCAGAAATGCCAACTTGCCCAGATTCTTGACACCTGCAGGGCAGTAGGGGGGCAAGCTCAGAATTTGGGGTTCATTAGGTTTGTGGGGACAAGGCAGGCTTCGATCTTTACTTTAATCCATTCTACTCTCTCCTGAAGGAATGTTCCTTTTAGGACAAAAGCCTAAAGTTAGGCCTTGAGTGCCCTGTTCTCTACATCAAACCCTACTCTGGAGACCCTAAAGAAGATGGAATTTAACCAGAGGCATGCCTCCTCACTGTCCTGGAACCCTTGTGGTGGTCCTCCACCTTCTTGGAAGCCTCAGGAAGAGGAGTTTAAACTTCCAGTGACAGGGCATGGCCTGGAGGCTAAAGTCCTCGCCTTGAACACCCAGGATCCCATATGGGCGCCGGTTCTAATCCCGGCAGCCCCGCTTCCCTTCCAGCTCCTTGCCTGTGGCCCAGGAAAGCAGTTGAGGACAGCCCAAAGCTTTGGGACCCTGCACCCGTGTGGGAGACCTGGAAGGAGTTCCTGGATCCTGGCTTTGGATCGGCATAGCTTCGGCCGTTGCGCTCACTTGGGCAGTGAATCATCGGATGGAAGATCTTCTTCTCTGTCTCTCCTCCTCTCTGTATATCTGACTTTCCAATAAATAAATAAATCTTAAAAAAACAAAACAAAACAAAAAAACTTCCAGTGACAGTTGTGTTTAGCCTCTATATAAGCCTGGGAAGCCTAACCCCAATCTTGAAACTGCCTGCCAAATTCTAACCCAGACTCAGACTGAACCCTCAGGCAGGACACTGCTCTCATTCCTAATAAGCCTCCTTAGGATTTCCATCAGGCTGTTTCACAGGACACTCAATATTATTTTTATTATTATTATTATTTACCTAAGTTGAGAAGTTGGTTTCTGGCTAAGTTTCATCTGAGAAAGCTGATTTGCTGGCAGGTGAGGACTTATCTAAACGTCACCCTATTTCTTCCTGTTGTCCTTGGGCAGCCCACAAGCACAGGGTTCACCCTGGGTTCCGTCTAACCAGGCCCCGTGGGCAGCCTGGGTGCACACTGCTGCAGGGTGGAGGTTAAGAGACAAAAGTCCCTGGCATAAGGGCATGTGGTCGCTGAGTGAAGCACCTGCTTAATTCAGCTGCACAATTTTGTTTTAGCTTAAGGTCCTATAGGCAGGTGTTTCCTTGAGGAATCTGGAGAGGGGGCTCTCTGAGGGAGAAGCTACATCGGGAACCATTCCCCCTAAAACAACTCTTCCAACTTTGGGCAGAAGAGGGAGGGAGAGTTAAGGCAGTGAGGACATAGCAGAGTCTATAATCTAGCAGCTCAATGTCTGCTGGTTAAAGACATCACAGCAGGGAGGATGCTGGCGTCAAGAGCAACTCTCCAGCTGTTGCTCTTCAAGATAGGTCCTGTTGGACTCATTAACAGCCCTGGGGGAGGGGAGGCGGATCCTGACCTGGTCCTCTCCTCCTACTCCCCCAGCTTGAGTCACTCACATTGAGTCAGTTCCAGGGAGTAAAGCTGAGGCCAGAGAGTTGACATCACCGGGGCTGGGGCCAAAAAGCCCACTAGGGCTTCCAGGTCACTGACAGGCAGCTGATTTCTCTGTGTAAAGGTTGCGGTCCTGAAGTGACCAAGCTGATCTAGGAGTGTGGTGACCCTGGGTGCCGGAGTGGCAGAGAAATCAGTGCTCCCTGCACCCTGACCCTGCGCCAAAACAGTTCCCATTTGGTTACAAATGACAAAACAGTTCCCTAACTAGGCTGACAGAAATGGCTTTGAAAAAGGGTTTGGCTGAAAAAGAACTTGGCACCAGAGCCTTCTGAAGGTGGTGGAAGAGTGTGAAGGAGTCTTCGGGAAGAGCTGCTGGAGCCTTTGTGAGGTCTGGGCGGAGAGCTGTGTAGGCAGGCAGGAGGATGGGACCAGCAGCCTGAACCTTTCTTGGAGCTCCTCCACCACTCCATTGGCGGCAGGAGCTCAGGAGAGGAGAAGCTGGGAACAGGTCTCCCCTGGGCCCTAGAAATTTGTGAGCTTTGCTCTAAGTGAGGCTCATTCTTTCTGCTCCTGAACAGGAGACTTTTCAGCAGTCGCAAGTGGAATGGTTCCCTAGATGTTGAGGTTTCCATGTTACCTCACTTCCTAGAGGCAAAAGACAGCGATTTGTCCATTGTCCTCTACGGCCTTTCGCACAGGATTTTGTGCCTTTTACAAGCTCAATATTTGCCAAGTAAATGAATGCTGTGTGAGAAGGGAATTGGAAGAGGAGGAAAACCAAGTGTCTGGGTATGTGAGGGCACAAAGGTTTCAATAGATGTATCCTCAACATGCCAAGGGGGCTGGGAGAAACCCTTGTGCCATAGACCCTAAAGTTTAGAAAGCTAGTGCTCTGCATGCATGTATTTCTGTTTTTTCTCTCAGCCAGGGTGGGTTTGGGTATCTGATTTCGCCAGCATCAGATAACCAGGAATGCCTGAGGCCATTGTGTCTCCTTTCCAGCATCCAGTGACTTGAGATAAGGAGGCCAGCTGGGAAGAAGGGCAGCTGGAGAACCTACTCTGGTGTCACCCATAATCCCACCTGGGAGCAAGGGTGGATGCAAGGAAGAGGGACAAGGCACCAGGGACCAGGACAGAGTAAGAAAAACTCTAAGGTCTTGGCTTTTCTGGTCCTAGGATGAGGACCACAAAACGGACACAACAAAGGCCGGCCTGGCCAGGGGCACTGAGGAATCCCTTCTAGCTGTGCACACTCTGACTGCTATCAACTTGACCCCAAGATGAGGCAGCTCTCTAACCCTTCCGGGCTTCAGATCCAGCAGCATCAAGATGACTTTTCTTGTTCTGCAACAACCTCCCTTCTTGGTCCTGGGCTCTGCTGCCAAGCTCAAACAGAAAATGAAAATGGTTTGTTTTAATTCCGAGAAAAGCTCAGCTTTTGCCTAAGCTTGGATGTAGAAGAATGGATGGCCACGGCCTGGGCTGTTCTTCCCCCAGGGACCTCTGTCAGCTGGCAACATGAGGAAGTAGAAGCCAAGAAATTACCAAGCCCAGCTGAATGCTACCCAGCACCAGCTGTGGGTCCGGGGCATGGTCTGGCGCTTTCACTGCTGGTTGAGAAGCTGTAAGCCGACCATCTAGCCTCGCCCAGCCTCCATTTCATCATTGATGAAATAACACCTGTCTCTTACATCTGTTGTGAAGATGAAATGTCAAGTGCCTGGTACAATGCTAGCTCATACTAAGTGCTTAATAACTGTTAGTTTTTCACTTACTCATGATTAAATTAGCACAATAAAATATAAAATCGGAGCTGGCGGCGTGGCCTAGCGGATAAAGTCCTCGCCTTGAATACACTGGGATCCCATATGGATGCCGGTTCTAATTCCGGCAGCTTCACTTCCCATCCAACTCCCTGCCTATGGCCTGGGAGAGCAGTCGAGGATGGCCCAAGGCTTTGGGACCCTGTACCTGTGTGGGAGACCTGGAAGGAGTTCCTGGATCCTGGCTTCGGATCGGCACAGCACCAGTTGCTGCGCTCACTTGGGGCGTGAACTAGCAGATGGAAGATCTTCCTATCTCTCCTCTCTGTCTGACTTTGTAATAAAAATAAATAAATCTTAAATATACATATATACATATATATATATAAAATCGGAGAGACTGTAGTCTCCCCTGGTCATGCTGAGCTCTCTCCACTTTAAAGAAACACCACTGTACCAAAAATGTGGGTGTGTTATGTGCCTGGCACAGGCAGACAGATGCCAGGACCACAGCTATACACATTCTTTAGCAATGCAAATTCTTCACTCCCCCCTCCTTTTTTTTTCCCCTAGGCTGGGCTGGCAGCCAGAATGGGAGGTTGGCCAATGGTGAGTCAGAGGGAAGGACTAGGACACCATTGTCTGGGTGGGACCAGGTCACTGAACTTGGCCATCCACTGGGTGGCTTTCCCTGCCATTTGTCCAGATGTGGAGTGGAAGGTGAGTCCAGCCTAGTGATGTGGCCATCTCTCTCTGCTCTGTATTCTTGGCTGGCTACTTTCTACTACTGTAGTAGCCTCCTCTTCTTCAAGTCTTCAGGCCCTTGATTTACTCTAGGCACCAAGTTGACTGGACGCCAAGACAGCTTCTCTCGTTCTTTTGTGTGTCCCCCAAATGACAGGGAAAAGACACCAGGGAGGCACACTGGCCCCCCCGGAAAGGCAGGCAGAAGGGCGTCCTGTCAACACCTCGGGGATAGGGAAGAAACCTCACCAGGTCCAGGCAAAAGGCAGGCTCTTCGGGGAGTGGGGGAGAGGGAATATGAGAAGGAGCGGTCAGAATGAAGCTGATGTTCTTTTTTAGCATTCTTCTCCACCAGCACACACAGGACCACAGCCCCTTTGTCTTTCCCCATGGCTGCTGTTCTGAGAGGCTCTGGAGCCACCCCAGGGCTCAGTCAGGGTTCTCAGGCAGCAGTTACTGCAAGGTCAGTACAGTTTAGCAAAAACAACTTGGGACACAGGGGTATCAGCCTTGCCACTGGCTACATGACCCATGGCAAGTCACTTTATCTCTCGGGGCCTCAGTTCTTCCTCTGTAAAATGACACAGTTGGAATACATGAATTCTAAAGGTCTTTTTCCATTCTAACATTCCATGCTTTTATCAGTGAAATGAGACAGAGGGAAGTACAGAAAGGACACAGGAACCCTAGGTAAGGAAGACACTGTCTCCATGCAGCCCTCTGCCACCTTGCCTCGATGTCCCTCCCCAGGATTTTACCTCGTCCTCATTCTCCACTTTAGGGTTGCTGGCTGTTCGTTTCAGGTTGCTGCTGAGGCTTATGCTGGCAGTGGCATCTGACTTAGAGCGCTGGTGAGTCCTTTTGGAGGGTGACAGCCCCGTGTCAGGGGCTGGGCTCAGGGAGGGCAGCTCCCTCTTCCGGTGAGCTGGCTTCAGCTCGTCTGAGAGGATCAGCTTCCGCAGCTTGGTCCCACGGGAGTGTCGCTGAGTGGAAATGTGCATATCTGAAGAGTAGGCCCCAAGCAACAGGGCACACTGCAGAGAAAAGTTGATGCTCTGCCGGCATCTGTGGACAATGTAGGGCTTAATGGCGTCGCCTACATCCTCATCCATGTGGATGTACATGTTAAGCAACTGGGGCAGGTAGAAGTCCACGTCCTCATTGCGAAAGCAGAAGAGTCGGTTGCCGATGTAGGCTTGAACTCCAGGCTCCTTGGAGTTATACAGGTATGAAATGGCCATGGAGATGTCAAACAGTTTTGACTCAAACAGCCTCAGCAGCCAGGACTGTTTGGCTGAGTTGTTCTGTCGCCGTCTTCTTGCTCCTTTGGCTGTGCCTGAGGTCACGGTGGCCCCCATCTCCTCTTCCTCTTCCCTGATCTGGGCAGGTGGATCGTCTAGGCAACGGATCTCGGTGTCCAAACCATCCCCATTGACCAACTGCTGCGGGATGTCTCTGCCAGAGACAGTCACGCCTCCGCGCAAAAGCTTGACTTTCTCCAGTACCTCTTGGCAGGCCTTCTGGGCCACCTCAGGGTCAATCACTGAAAGTTCCCCGACCCCCTCCGTGATGACGCTTAGCAAGGAGCCCCCATTACTCCCTGGTGGGCCAGCAGTAGGCTCAGAAGTTGGCTTCAGGGGGGCGGGCTCCACTACTGTGTCTCCCATGGCCACAGCCAGACTTCGAGCTTCCAAGCTACAGGAGGAAGGAGAGGGAGACACATACACACACTGGTTAGTGGTACCATCCTCAAGTCTTCCATTTGCCAGGAAACTTTCCCAGGCACCTCCTCTTTTTGTCTTCCTGGACTCTTTTCAGAATCAGATGAGCAGTCAGCTCCTCCCAGGAAGCTCTGCCTCATTGCCTTCACCTGTCATCACTGCATTATTCGCACTTCCTCGGCCTAGCTTCTGTTCTGAACAAAGGATACTTCACATACATGTGTCACATTTACAGGTTTACAAATCCTGCAATTCAAGTCTCATTCCTTTGCCCCCTAACTCTTCAAATATGTTTTTATTCTCTTGTTCTTTCCGTGTCCCTATTTAAATGCCTCCCTATCATCTTTTCTTCCGAGCTGTATTTCCTACCAACATAGCACTCCACACACAGGCCCTACATGTCACCTTTATTTAGTATTAATGCTTTGATGCATTTTTCTAGTTACAGCCCTGTGTATCTAGTTTTCTAGATCCCCTTTTACATTCTCTTTTATACTCAAAGCTCCCAGGGAACAAGGCCCAGCATATACCATGCTGGGCTTCATTCAGAGGAAAGGAGCTAGGAGACAATCACCACCCACGTTATGGAGGCCGTGGCATTTCTGTGCTGGTCTGACTTCATGATTGCATAGAAAGAACAAAGGAAAGAGCCCTGCACTTAGAGGCAAACTGCCTGGGGTTCAAAATCTTTATTTACTTTTATGAGATGTACAAACTTATACAAGCCATGCTATCTTCTGGGTTTCAGTTTCCTCAACTATAAACTAGGGACAGGAGGGGGTTTAAATCTTATTGCTGCTGTGTGGAATAAGTAGCTTCATGTGTGAAAAAGGATCCAGCGTAATCCCTGCACATAGGAGTATTCAGTAAATGCTGGTTCATCTATAAACACCTAAAAGGTTAGTAAACAGTGTGTGAGTATACTTGTGTGAGCATGTACACACGTATTTATAAGCAAAGTGAATTAGCGTTACACTCATGAAAGAAATCTTTCTCACCCCAACACTACTTTTCATACTTTTACACACACCAACTCCAACAACTAGAGAGACTCTGAGATGACAAAAGGAAATCAGACTGAGATTCATGGGTTTAGAAATTTCAAAGCATAGAGAGCAATGGGAATTAAATAATTCAGGACCCTCTCTGGAGGCACTCTTGGAAGGGAATTCGACACTGCCAACAAAAGCCGCCACCCTCCAAGAGTGACCCTTTAGAACCTTACCAAATCCAGATCAGGAGAACCAGTGAAGCACAGAGAAAAATTCCATCAGCTCCAAAAACTGGCTACAGCCAATAATAAACCCAGAGGCTTCTCCAGCAAAGACGACTGTGCCTAAACACACTGGACTTCCAATGATCCCTGACGTTTCTTTGGTCCTGGTGACCCTGGACATGTATACTTTGGATAAGTGGAAGACACAGATTCAATATACAGGGTCCCTAGTCACTCTGGGAGACCCTGTTTCATATTGCCACCCCTCCTGAGCCTCTACCTGCTTCTCTGAAATGTTAAATGTCAAGGTTATTTTCATTTGCCTAATGCAATTGCAATCCAGTTTCCTAACTCCCTCAGTTACCACTAAAATTATTTGGGAAGACAGAAAGGGAACTTTTCTGTTCTCAGAGATTCTGAGATCATCATTTAAGATTTTTTAAAAAAAAAAAAAAGCTACTTTATCTTTCACCCATCTCTGACAAGCAAGAAATTTACACACAAATTTAATTTCCCTATGTGATGGTCCCTTGGTATGAGAAAGAAGGTGGCAACTCTTTCACTATGCTGTCTTCCAAAATCAGGCAGCACCTTTTGAGCAGTGAAACCAGCATGGCTGCCTGTGTGGGTCTGCCACTGCTCACAACAATGGGTTGCAGGGGAAAAATGACACTCTAATACCCTGCTGCTCCTTTAGAAGGGAGCTTGTCAGAGGGTCACTGGAAATCAGCGGGGCCCACTACCTTTCAGGTCTGTGTGGATCAGGTTTGCTCAAGCATCCTATATAAACAAGCCTTTTTCTCAGTCTCCCTATGCCTAGGACATCCTTCCCTTTTCCTATCCTCCAGAGATTTCCAAGTCACCAATAGCTCCTCAAAGACCACATCTCAAAACTTTTAAATACTGTCCCATATACAGCATCTTAAACCTGACTAGTTCAGTCAATTCTTGCCCCAGTTAATTCTAACTGGTATACCAGGGTTCTTATTGGTATATCAGGAATGCAGGTAAGGATTCCATTCTCTCTTTAATCCCACAGGCAAAATAAAAACTCTGGGCTCAGCTAGGAACTCCATAGCACAGTATCCAGAGGACTGCCTGCTCTGGCAGCCAAACTCCCCAGGCAGCCAGGAGTCAAGAGATGTGGGAGAAATCATGCACCTTTCGTGTAGGAGTAGCCCTGCCCTGAGAAGCCATCAGACTGAACTGCCTGTCTCTCCCGGGACTGCTGGCATCTAAGGCCAGTCACAGGGAGAAGGCAATACGGAAAGGACAGGCTGGACTGCTTTTGGTAATTTAGGGAGAAAGAACTAGGGAGGAAGTTCTCTAGAACTGAAGTCCAGGAGGGTCCCTTACATCAACTCATTCAGGTTCAAATGCAAGGAACACAGACCTTTGGATAGTCAACGCTCTGAAGAAAGTGAAAGATCTAGAAAGCAGAAGAGAACAAAGTTCAGTATTGACTGCCTTTACTCAGGTAAACCAGAAGAATAAGAAAAAGGCGAGAGAAGAAAACCCAAATCTTTAGTATCAAGTGACTCTGATGGCCCTCAAGGATGCTCAGACAACTTGGGCTCCATACTGGGATCCTAAACTCTCCTTGCAGAGAGCCTGGAGGGGAAACCAAGAGGCCTCCCCCGCCCCCCAGCCTAGCTGCTGGCTCCCAGGAAAAGGAGATGAGAGTACGGTGAGTGTTGACCACTGGGCAGGCGCCACAGCTCTGAGCTGGGTCAATTAGTCAAGTCTGAACATCTGAGTCAGTGTGATGAGCAGCAGGGGCTCGGAAGCTCACAGAGAGCACACGTGTGTATGTGTACACATACATAAATGCATTCTGTGTGACTGAGCAATTAAGTGTTTGTACAGTGGGCCCAGTGTGATAGCATAGTGGTTAAAGTCCTCGCCTTGCACACCCGGGATCCCATATGGGCACTGGTTCTAATCCTGGTGGCTCCACTTCCCATCCAGCTCCCTGCTTGTGGCCTGGGAAAACAGTAGAGGACGGCCCAAAGCTTTGGGACCTTGCACCCACGTGGAAGACCCGGAAAGAAGTTCCTGACTCCTGGCTTCGGAATGGCTGAGCTACAGCCGTTGCGGTCACTTGGGGAGTGAATTCATAGGATGCAGGATCTTCCTCTGTCTTTCCTCCTCTCTGTATATCTGTCTATCAATAAAGCTAAATAAATCTTTAAAAAAAAATTTTTAAGTGTTTGTACAGCAATCTGGTGGGGGGAGGGGATGTTGTTGCTTAACTTGGCTTCCCATGTCTTAGCAACCAAAATTCTAGGTGAACATCTTTCCAAGGGCTTCCAATAGGACTAATGGATTGACCTCTGCTAGGAGAGGAAGGTAAACAGTCCCAAACCAACCCCCTCACCCAGGTTGTTACCATTCCCTCCAAATCTTTTTCCACAGACCAAAGAAATAGGATTAATTCAGACGAATCTGTTCCCGTATTCTCACAGAACGGCCTTTACGACATCATCTGTTACAATCCTCTGCCTCCAAGTAGGCAGGTATGCTCAATCTTCTCCTCCTTTTCAAGAACACTTGGAGATGGCATGAAAGGTGAGGAGAAAAAAGGATAGAGGAGCCAAAATCTTCAATCTATTAAGGGGTTATTTAAGAGGGACTGTTAAAGTTAATGGAAAAGAGAAGTTACAATATATTATTTAAAATCACACAGGTACCACGTAGAAAGAAAATTTAAGATGTAATTAAACAAGAGGTATAAATCTCCAATAGCTACAAATCCTTTTTTGTAACAATAATTCAAGATATAGAAGAGCTGGCCAGGCACAGTGGGTTAAGTAATCATTGGTGATGTCACTATGCCAGTTTGAGTCCTGAATTGGCTTCCTATTAATGCCCCCCCAGGAAGGCAGAAGATGATAATCCAAATACTTGGGACCCTGCCACCCAGATGGGAGACCACGACAGAGTTCCTGGCTCTTGGCTTCAGCATGGCCCACTTCTGGATGTTGTAGAAATTTGGGAAGTGAACTAAAGGTTGAAGAAACCTCTCTCTCTGTTTTTCAAAATTAATAAAGGCATAAACATTTTATGTAAATTTATTCCCTCAAAGTTTATTTCTAGTTACCTCAGAACCCTGGAGGTTGGATCTGAGGGAATAAGAATGAATGGGAAAAAAAAAGAATGAATGGAAAAGGGACTATATTGGTTTTCATTATTGAAAGCCAACTGGTTTTTAGTACCACTGAAATTGCTACTAAGTGCATGTATTTTTTAATAATATTAAAATTTTTCATTTGAGAGGCAGAGAGAGAACATGTACAAGGCCCCTCCCTAAGCCCACAGTGGCAGGGGTTGGTCTGGGGAAGAGGTCAGGAGTCAGGAACTCAACCCAGGGCTCCCATGTAGGTCACAGGAATTCAGTTACTTGAGCCACCATCAGTTCTTCCCAGGGAATTGGAGCTGAATCGGGTCTGGAACTCAAGTGCCTCAGTGTGGGATATGGGTATTTTATTTTATTATTTTTTAAAGATTTATTTTTATTGCAAAGTCAGATATACATAGAGGAGAGACATCCGTCTGATGATTTACTCCCCAAGTGGCCGCAACAGCCAGTTATGCGCCAATCTGAAGCCAGGAGCCAGGAACTTCCTCCAGGTCTCCCACACGGGTACAGGGTCCCAAGGCTTTGGGCCGTCCTCAACTGCTTTCCCAGGCCACAAGCAGGGAGCTGGATGGGAAGTAGAGCTGTCGGGATTAGAACCGGCACCCATATGGGATCCCGGTGCGTTCAAGGCGAGGACTTTAGCAGCTAGGCCACCATGTCAGACCCAGGATATGGGCATTTTAACCACTAAGCTAAATGCCCTTCCTGAGTGATTTTTAAAAAGGGGTTGCTTTTTATAAGGGACTTCATATCACCCTCAATTGCTGCTTCTGTTAACTGAGTTCCTTTTTTTTTTTTTCCTTTTTTTACAGATTTATCTTTACTGGAAACACAGATTACAAAGAAAAGCACAGAAATATCTTCCATCCACTGATTCACTGCCCCAAACAGCTACAATGGCTAGAGCTTAGCTGATCTGCTGCCAGGAGCCAGCAGTTTCTTCCTGGTCTCCCACATGGGTGCAGGATCCCAAGGATTTGGACCTCTGTGCTTTCCTAGGCCACAAGCAGGGAGCTGGATGGGAAGTGGAGAAGCTGGGACATGAACCAGTGCCCAAATGGAATGTCAGCACCTTCAATCAAGACTAGTTCGCTGAGCAGCTGCACCAGTCCCAGTTCCTCATGTTTTTAAGGTCTAACTTTTTTTGTCTTAAGAGAGAAAAACGGGGCCTGTTGTGATGGCTCAATTGGCTAATCCTCCCCTTGCAACCGCCATGATCCCACATGAGTACCAGTTTGTGTCCTAGCTGCTCCATTTCCCATCTAGCTCCCTGCTTGTGGCCTGGAAATGCAGTGGAGAATGACCCAAAGCCCTGGGATCCTGCACACATGTGGGAGACCTGGAGGAAGCTCCTGCTTTAGATCGGCTCAGCTCCGGCTGTTGTGGCCACTTGAGGAGTGAACCAGCAGATGTGAGGATCTTTCTCTCTGTTTCTCCTTCTTTCTGTAAATCTGATCTGCCTTTCTGACAAAAATAAATCTATAAAGAGACAGAGAAATGGAGGAAAGAGGGATGGGGCAAGAGTGAGAGAGACAAAGGGAAACCTTCTGTGTGCTAGTTCATTTTTTTTTTAAAGATTTATTTTTATTATGTTTTTATTGGAAAGGCGGATATACAGAGAGGAGAGACAGAGAGGAAGATCTTCCGTCCGATGATTCACTTCCCAAGTGAGCACAACGGCCGATGCTATGCCGATCCGAAGCCAGGAGCCTCTTCCGGGTCTCCCACACGGGTGCAGGGTCCCAAAGCTTTGGGCCGTCCTCCACTGCTTTCCCGGGTCACAGGCAGGGAGCTGGAAAGGAAGTGGGGCTGCCGGGATAGAACTGGCGCCCATATGGGATCCCGGGCGTGCAAGGCGAGGACTTAACCATTTGCGCCACCGCGCCGGGCCCTAGTTCATTATTTTTTTAAAGATTTTTTATTTTTATTATTTTTCTATTGGAAAGGCAGATATACAGAGAGGAGAGACAGAGAGGAAGATCTTCCGTCTGATGATTCACTCCCCAAGTGAGCGCAACGGTCGATGCTATGCCGATCCGAAGCCAGGAGCCTCTTCCGGGTCTCCCATGCAGGTGCAGGGTCCCAAAGCTTTGGGCCATTCTCAACTGCTTTCCCAGGCCACAAGCAGGGAGCTGGAAGGGAAGCGGGGCTGCCGGGATTAGAACCGGCGCCCATATGGGATCCCGGGCGTGCAAGGTGAGGCCCTTAACCACTGCGCCACTGCGCCGGGCCCTGCTAGTTCATTTTCCAAATGCCTGCAACAGCCAGATCTTGGCCAGGTTGAAGTCAGCAGCCAGGAACTCTATCATGGTTTTCCATGTGGGTGGCAGGGGCTCAAATGCTTGGGCCATCGCCTGCTGCCTCCCAGGTACATTAGCAGGGAGCTGGAATGTAAGTGTAGTTACTGGGACTTGAACTGGTACTCCGAGAGGGGATACTGGTAGCACAAGCAGTGGTTCAACTCCTTAAGTCACAGAGCCAGCCCTTCAAAACTTTAAGTTTCCATCTTTCTTTCCCCTCTTATCTCAATAAAATTGAGTACTGAGTACCCCTCTCTCTTTGTAGAAACTGAAGGCCATGTAGTCAAGCTGGCTCAGGCTTCCCAAGGCCTGAGAGGGTGTTGACTTGAGGGGAGAGGGCATTTCAAGCTACCAGGGGGAGGGGAGGGAGAACAGTGGTCTCTACGTAGTAAGTCAATATTGAATCAGGTTGAGGACTCTGTGTAGGGCTATAAAGCTGGTATAAGCAGATTCCAGCCAGACAGCCCAAGCCAGCTCTGAGAGCCCCTGAAGAAACAGATAGCAAAGAGAGTAACCTGTATGTTCACCTCTCCCTCTTCACTGTTCCTCCCTGCTGCTGATTCCAAAGATGCCTGGACTAGGCCCTCTCTTGTCCCCTTGCATTATTGAAGGGAACCTCCCAAACCTCTTCCCCATGTCAATCTGCTGCTTTGGATGGTGTCCAACAAACACCACTCTCATGCAGTGGGAGCTCAGCTCAGCCAAAGAAACAAAACAGGGAATCTGGGGGAAATATAACTGCTGGTTGCAGGTGCTCACAAGGATTAAGGCTTCTCCTAAACATGGGGGGGGGGGAGGGTGTGTTATGAAACTGTCCTGGCTAATGAGAAGGGAAAGATGGGATGAGCAGAACAGGATGGCCTAACTACTCCTAAACAGGCTTGGAGTTGGGAAATGAGTGGAATTTCAGACGCCCTCTACACTATCCCTGGTGAAGAAAAGGATGTGCCAGCCAGGGCAGCAGCTGGCTTTCCCAGCCCCAGCGTGCTCCGGACTCCCTCTTCCAGCCATCTTCCACAAAGGACTTTTTCACAAACACACTTTCCATGCAAAGAATCTAGAGTGATGGATCACATATGGGACGAACAGCAGAGGGGGGCGCGGCTGTTGAACGGGGGTGGGGGGGGGTGGGGAAGCAAGGCAGAGGAAAGAGGTACAGCTGGATCATCCCATCTCGTAAGCTGACTGACACCCCTAGTTTTACCTTAGATCTAGCAGAAAGGTTAAGTCCAAGCAAACTTTTTAGGACAACTCATCACTAATAATAAATACTTTTTAGTCAAGGAACCAGTATGTTTGGTAAACAAAGAAATCTATTCTATCCCTGCCCTCCTCCAACCTGGTCCTGACATGTCAATAAAAACTGCACTGATGCCTTTAGGTGGGCCAAAAAGAAGGGGGACATCACACGCTGAACCCCGGAGTCCCCACGCTGAATGTACCAGTTCTTTCCATTGTCTCATATCCCTTTTCCAAGCCACCTCCCCAACCCACCACGGCCCGAGCTCTTAGGAAATCAACCCAAACTATTCCAGCAAACCACAGACAGTAAACTGAATCCTCCGGGATCATGGATAGAGGTGAAAAAAAAAAAAAGCCCAAAACCAAACCAAAACCACCAACAACCTCTGGAGTTGCTTGAACACAAGCCCACAACATTTTTCACAGCCCCACACAGTTCCCGTGCCGGCCCTCTTCGGCATCTTCCTGAACAGTCCATCAAGTGTAACCTGATAGGGACTTCTTCAAAACTTCCTGTCTTTTAGAAACACCCTCCAGGCCAGAGGGGAAAAAAAAAAAGCCTGAGACAGCTGCTGCTCCCTTCCCTCCTCCCCATATCGTTTCTTGGTTCAAGGTTGAACTGATCCTGAAATCAGGGCTCTATGGCGATGGTGTGACAGAAAACCCATAAAAAACCACCATGTGTCACAAGGATCAGGAAAACATCCGCAACTCCAGGGCAAGTGTCAAAGTTGGAAATCCTGAACGGGAAGCGGCTTGGTCAGATCTTCTGTATCTCCTACCAGGACAAACTTGTAGAGGGATGGGGTGAGGAGGGGCTCAGGCGAAGCGGGAGAAAGTTCCAGAGATCATAAAACACCCCCAAGGACGGGGGAGGAGGGCCCGAGAGCCTTTGAGAAGAGGGGAGCCAGGAGCTGGGTGGGTGGGTGGGTGACGGTGAGGTAATGGAATCCGAAGCAGAGGAAGGAGGGGGACCCAGCGCTGAGGGTGCACAGGCCTCGGGCATGCGAGGCAAAACAGGCAGAGGGGCAAAGCTTTGGGGCAGGGACCCAGACCCTGCAGGCCGAACGAGCATGGACACGATGGGAGGCGTCTAAAGTGGAAGGATTAACGACTTAAAAAAAAAAAAAGAAACAATCAATTCGGGACGAAGGCAACGGGTAAGAGAGCGAGGTTGGGGAGGGGGGAATCCCCGGGCTAGAGGGGAGGAGCTAAACAGAAGAAGAAGCCAAACAAAAACAAAAACAAAAAAAACCGGAGGAAGACCCCAGACCCGAGAACTCAGGGTGCAGTTGCCACTGGGGGGGGGCAGTTTGGTGGTCGAACTCAGGCTGAGGGAGGCTGTGCCGGACGCGGCGGGAGAGAGGGACCCCTCCCGACCGGGCAAAGGTGACTCACGGGGGAGGAGCGGCTTACCTCCGGGGGACCCCCGCGGAGGGGGTGCGGCCGGTCGGGGTCGGACTGCCGACACCGCCGCCTCAGCAGCAGCGGCCGCTCCCGGGCTCCATTGGCCGCTGCGCTTCCCTGACAGCGGCCGCGGCGGCTGCACCAGGCCCCGGCTGCGGGGCTGTCCGCGGCGCCGCCTGAGGGGGCCTTCACGCGGCCTCAAGTCGAGCCGTGCCACACACCTCTTCTTCCTCCCTCAGCATAACCAAGAGTATCCTCCCCTCCCCGTCCCTAAAAAAAAACCCTGAAAGAAAAGAAAAAAAAAAAGCCAAAGTCTTCTTCCTGGGATTCGCTGTCCTGCTCAGGGCCCCACAGCTCTCAGAGTAATCTAAGGAGTGAGCTGCCCGAGCGATGCCTGTTCAGAAATAGAAAAGGGGGCGTGGAAGAGCGACATGGAAGCCGGGGAGGGAGGAGCTTACGGGCGGGAGGCGGGGCCAACCCTTGGGGGCGGGACTAAGGGAAGGCTTGGCGAGATTGAGGAAGTCGAGGGAAGTGACATTTGCAGGATTCAGTGGTGGGGTGGGTGGGCAGGCGGATGTGGGTGTCCCGGCAGGAGAACTAGTGACACATGGCGTCCTTCCATCTTGCACATCCTGTGTAAATAAGTCCTCTGAGTTCGCCGCCGAGTGACCGTCGTCGCCCTCTGTGGCTTTTCCCCTTGTCTCCCCTACCTACCCCACGGGACTGCCTTAGGAGATGAGGTCGTGGGGTGGACGCTGGAGGCCCAGAAGGAAAAGGAGGAGAGAGAGAGGCCGGTCGGGAAAGACAGTTACCCTCAGCACCCTTTTCCGACTCATCTTTAAGAACGAAGCCGAGATGACGCCCCTTGCGGCTCTGGGGACACGGTGCTGTCCGGCCGCGCCAGTCTTCCGCCGCCCGTTGGCTGCCGGACTCGAGACCCCGGTTCTGCCTTCCGAGGTCACCACCTGCCGGGAAAGGCCTTTGACCTCTGGCATTCAGAAGCTGAGCCCTCCGGGGAGGGGCTGGACAGGCCCAGGTTGGGAGAGGTGAGTGAAATGAGAAGCATGTAGGGGTCCTAATTCCTTCTTCTAAACCAAACCATGGAGGGCTAACCAAATAAAAACAGGTCCTGTGGATGGACCTCCAGTGCTGGCTTTGTGTATCTGTCCCTTTGCTCTGTTGATTGAGACCCTCACAGACCTGTGTCCTAACACCTTTCCTAGAGTTTTACTTCGCAGTCAACAGCCTTTGGTTTGACTTGATAGTGTGTACGAGGATTTTTTTTCAGGTCTTGGACCACACTTTTGCTGCCATTTATAAGCTGTTTGATTTGGAATGAATGAAGTGATCTCTTTTTTTAATAAAAAATTATTTATTTTTATTTGAAAGAGTTTTAGGGAGAAGAAAGAGAAGGCTTCTATCTGCTGGTTCATTGCTCAAATGGCAGCAATGGCTAGAGTTGAACTGATCCGAAGCCAAGATCAAAGAGCTTCTTCCAGGTCTCTCACATGGGTGCAGGAGCCCAGGGACCTGGGCTGTGCTCCACTGCTTTCCCAGGCCATATGCAGGGAGATTAATTAAGTGGAGCAGCCAGGACATGAACTGCTGCACCTATGGGATGCTTGCGACACAGGTTGGAGACTTAGCATGTAACGTCTTTGAACTTGTGTTTCTGGGTCTGCAGAGTGGATGTGGTGATAGTAACACTTTACAGGGTTTGGTGAGGATAGAGAGTACAGGTGGCTCCTATAGTACTATCTTTTTTTTTATTAGGATAGTAATACAGATTAGATGATGAAAGAAAAGGAGGTTTCTGCTTCAGTGTTTCATTGAGAGGCAGGCTAAGCAATGTGAGGTTGGGATGGGCATTTAGTCCAGAGGTTGACATGTCTGTTAGGATGCCTTATATGAGTACCTGGATCTGATACCTGGCTCCAGCTGACACACACTGTGAAAGGCAGCAGTGATGGCTCAGATACTTGAGTCCCTGCCACCCAGCTGGGAAACCTGGATTAAGTTCCTAGTTCCTGGTTTCAGGCTGGCCCAGCTCTAGCCTGTATCGAGGGAATGAACCAGTAGCTAGAAACTCTGTCTCTTAAAAAAGTAAATAAAAATTTAAAGAAAAAACCCAAAAGCTTGAAAATGCTTGTTTATGAGGCTGGCATGATGGCTTGTTGGCTAACTCTCCACCAGTCCATGTCCTGGCTACTCTACTTCCCATCCAGCTTGCTGCTTATGGCCCGGGAGAGCAGTGAGGATGGCCAAACGCCTTGGACACCCTTCATCCATGTGGGAGGCCCCGAAGAAGCTCCTGGCTCCTGGTTTCAGATGTGCTCACCATCTGCAGCCATTTAGGGAATAAGCCAGCAGGTGGAAGATCTTTCTCTCGGTCTCTCCCTCTTTTTCTGTAAAGCTGTCTTTCCAATGAAAACTTTTTTAAAAAAAATCAGTGTGGAAGACCCAGCCAGCCACCCAGTAAACGGTGCATGAATGCATGGAAAGCTTCTTGCAAATGTAAATCAGGTCTTAGAAGAGATATTGGGTATGATTCAGCAGGAAAATAGAGAAGAGAGTGTCCTGAAGGCCAAAAAATTTGTATGTTTGAAGACTAGAAGTAGGAAGCTGCTCAAACCATGAGTAGGCAAGCAGATCAGCCAGGCAGAAGCAGGAGGACAGTGATGAAACACGAGCAGGGAAACAGGACACAGTGCCAGAGATAGTTTGGATTTGTCACCACTGCAGTCCACCTGTCAAGCCTAGCAGCTCCTAGCCGGCTGCCAACCAGCTATCGTGTAAGTATCAAGAGGTGATGACCCTGCTTTAGCCCAGAGTTTAGCTATTTTTTTTTCTGAGAGGCAGAGAGGCAGAAAGTCTGGCTTAGCAGGAAGCTAGAATCAGGAGCCAGGCTGGGAGTCAAGCCCAGACACCCTGATGTGTGATACAGGCTTTCTAAGGGATATCTAAGCCACTAGGGTAACTGCCTGCCCTGGCCTAGAGTGGAAAATGTCACACAAGGGCAGGCATGGGCATAGCTGCTAAGACTTGCTTGAGACACCTGCATCCTTATTGGAGTGCCTAGGTTTTATTCCTGGCTCTGTAACTGATGCCAGCTTCCTGCTAATGTGTGCACTAGGAGACGGCAGGTGATGGCTCAAGTAGTTGGGTTCCTGCCACTTCTTCAAAGACCCAGATTGAGTTCCTGGCTCCCAGCTTCAGCCTGGCAGAGCTCCAGTTGTTGCTGGCATTGAGAGTATAAACCAGTGGATGGGAGGGCTCTATCTGCCTCTCTACCTATTCCAAACAAATTTTAAAAACATTTTTTATTATTTTAATTTTTTAGGTTGGCATTATAACATTTATTGAAGTAATGCTATGGGTTAATAGAAACAGCAAGGAACCAAAGAAAATGCAAGCTGTGTAAAATCCCAACTAAAACCTAAAGTGTCTAATGTTTTCATTCATTAGCTAACTAGAAGCTCAAGAAAAGACAAGACCCCCAATATAATAAAGTACTGCCAAACAATCGGCAATTTTCAGTTGTTAAAATTGTGCATTTTGCATTTTGTATCCTTTTCTCAAGAAAAAATTCTTTTTGAATGTTATATAACATACATATAAAGCAAGATAGAAAAATACATTATAAACTTGTAGCAATGGCCGTAAATACATTATCTTACATGTTTCTTATAGGCAAGTGTTTCAAGTGTTACAAAAAGAAGAAAAAGAACAAAGAAACCCTTTATTTCATTAAATGATTTTTTTCTGGTGGTTGTCAAGAAACAGAAGGCCAAAAGAGCCCTTTCGTCTTTATTTTTTATTTTTTAAGTATTGGAATAAGTCTAAAGAAAAGAAAGCGCCTTATTTTCCTTCATGGTCATTTAGTCAAGTGTCTGGTAAGGTCAACTCCTCCCTCACAATGGAGGAGTCGCCCAGTAGGTGAAAGAAGATGAGAAGGGAGACAAATGAGTTGATGACTTGATTTATGATTTTTACCACGTTAACTTGAAACAAATTTGCCAAATCTGATACTGTGAACAAAATTGATCATTTTTCTAAGTCTGATTTGTTACATTTTTAAAACATCATTTTTTCAAAAATCATAATGGAGTACTTTTGGTTATTACAATCTCCAGTGCACCCAGAGAATTCTGAGATTAAAATTATGTGAAATCATCTGAGCATTAGTTTACAGATGAAATCACAGCTGCATTTCATTGGGAGTAGGGGAGACACTGGATTTTTTTTTTCTTGCTAATTTGAGTTTTGCCTAGCAAAACTTTTACAAAAATGAGTCTTAGTAACACTCATTCTGGAAAACTGTTTCTGAGTGACCCAATTTAAGCATACTTCTGTATACCAGTGTCAGAGAACTTGTGCTGTACATCTTTGCTGGTTTTAATAACCTCCTCTAGCTGACACACCTGTTTGACCCCCCCCTTTTTTATCATAAAAGTACATGGAAAAACCATCATTGTGGATATAAATACTCAAGTACACCTCCATTGCCATAAGGTTCAGTTTTGTAGTAGAAGCGCTTTGCACTTTCTGTGCAAAACTATATCTTAACACTGAGTGAATAATCGTGACCTGCTCAGTACCAGATGTGGCAACTCTCCAGTGGCAGTGGACTTCCAGCTGGTCAACTCGCTCCCTTTCCCACACTCCCCAGGCAAGATCAGCACCTTCGCGGTGACCTCCCCTTCATCGTGGCACACTTGGAAACCCTTATCAGTTTAATTACTATGCAATAGACATTCATTGTTTTGTATTCTGCTAGCTTTGGTTAATGTGCCACTGCTTTGTCTTTCTGTTACACATACCATTGTTTTGATTTATTTACAATATATGCTATGCCATTTTGATTTTTATTTTGTTTGGTTGGTTGAATAAATTTGCAGCACTCAAACACTTGAGGTGATAGTTTAGTTAAAAACAATACCAGTATTTGATCCAGTTTCATCTCAGCTGTGTTCAACCTGGACATTTTAGATGTTTATCAAAGGTCTTTTTTTTTTTTTAAATATAACTATTATGATAGATTCACTACAGAGTGGCTAGGTTTTTTTTTTTTTAAGATTTATTTTTATTATTTTTTTATTGGAAAGGCGGATATACAGAGAGGAAGATCTTCCGTCCAATGATTCACTCCCCAAGTGAGCGCAACGGGTCGATACTATGCCCGAAGCCAGGAGCCTCTTCCGGGTCTCCCATGTGGGTGCAGATTCCCAAGGCTTTGGGCCGTCCTCGACT